TATTTTTTGAGATAATTCGTAATGAGTTATTAAGCGACAAAACTTCTGAATTGAGATAGAGTGTCTATTTCAGTCTCATAACAGTTTTTCATATTTTCCGCCTCAATTGAATATAATTTAAGTTTATTAATTAATTCTTGCTTTTCCTTACATATATTTGTATGTATAATTTTTTGTATTAATTTTAGTTTTAATTAACTTTTGTACTTTCCTAACATATTTATTAATTTTTATGTATTTCTTTAATTTTCTTCTACTGCATGAATCCTTTCTGCTCTTCTTGATTTGAGAAAATCATCACCAGCCAAATCGATTGTTGTGGAGGGTTGCAATGTTTTTGAAGATTTACATTCTATGAGCTCATAGAACAGACTTTGAGTTAGGGACACTTTCAATTTATCTAAGTATTGTTTTAATTGCAAAATCTGATCATTAGCCTCAATTAACTGCAACTGCAATGCAGCAATTAATATGAGGGATTTGTCATGTTTTTTGCTGCATCGGTCAAACTCATCGACTGTTCCCTGAAGCTGATCCCTGATCCCTCAGACCAGACAGCAAGACAAACACAGACCTCTCATGACTGAGAGGGTATTATGGCAGGAAAATGTCTGCCACACCGCCCTAATGCATGTTGGCAAACTTTACAAGTATTTGAAATATTATTTTAATTTCACAGAAATGCAGGTTTGTTCAAATGTTTTCCTTCAGCACTGAGCAAGTAGTATGTTAGTTTAGTTTAGTTTACGATGGGCTGTTTTCCGCAACTCCACGTCTAAGCGCGTATTCTACTTGTGGGCAGGAATAATGTGATTATTCGAGCCATGAAATCTCTCCGAAGAAGTTCAACAATCCCTTGACGTTGCAAGCAACTTCTGCGAGCGATCCCGGCGTGCCGAGATGCTTAGCCTTGTATGCAGAGATCTCCGGATATGTCAGCAACACGTGAGCCGCCGTTTCTTCCTCCCCCATACATACCCTGCACAGGGGCCTATCTGAACACCTTGGTAAATAAATGTTTGTTAAAGGAGCCATGTTCTGTGATAGCACTTGTTACTATTCTGATCTGTGGCTTATTGAGTCTCATTAGAACCTTGGTTAGACATCTGTTTTTTTCAGGCAGAGCCTCCCTAGCTTGTCTACAGTCTACTAGATTTTTCCAAAGCTGAGCATGTAGATTATTGAAGTTTCTACATACCGGTGAACGAACATAACCGAAGGGGTTTGGTATTATTGGTTCCAGCCTTATAGTGGCCAGAGCTGATCCTCTTCTGGCCAGTTTGTCTGCTGCATCGTTGCCTCTGGATCCACTGTGTCGCTTAATCCATTGCAGAGTCACATTGTTGTGCTTATATATCTCATTTAATCGTTGATGGCATTCATTAGTTCCGAGTTCACCATATTACAACTCAGAGCTTGTAGTACCGCCATATTGTCGCTCAGTATTCTGATGAGAAGTCTTTTGCCTTCCAAGTATCTATTGCTATGACCGCTTGGATGATACCTATACATTCTGCCTGAAAGACTGTGTTATGGGTACCCAGCAGTGTACATATGTGGATATTAAGGTCTTCAGAGAAAACTCCAGATCCTATACCTCTATTTGTTTTAGAACCATCCGTGAAAACTCAAAACTCTTTTGGGTTTAATCCCTCCAGCGGGTCTGTTTCGTTCAATTATATCTTATACTTCTTTGTTTTGGTATCTTATCGTACTTGGCTTGTAAGATTTTTGAGTAAATTCTATCAATCATACCTGTATGAGGGCCCCTACTTTCACTCAAAAGATTTAGGGTCTTGATTCTAATGGCAGCTAAAGTTGCTTCTTGTTGTATGTGTAGATGAAGCGGGGTTAGCTCCAGTATAGTGTTACGAGCTTGAGGTTCGTGACAATAAAAACTGCTGATTGAATTACCAAAATTTAAACTTTTATTACCGAACACCAATTAAAACTTAAAAGACACTAATAATTAATCACACTGATTCACTTTATTTCGCTCCGAAGCTTCGCTTGTCTCGCCAAAATTAATACTGCCGTGATCGCGCCATGGAGCGGATTTAAACACACTTTTATGCCGAAACATCCAGAATATTCCCGTAGATTCGAGCGCCGACCGACCAGACGCAGAAAGTTCGAGTGTGAGGCTTCTAGAAAGCTTAGTTCTTCAATTCGATAATAGATGGCGCTGTTGTTTATTTGATTAGTCATGTTATTTTCTGGAAAGCTCTCCTCGCTCTGTTACCCGACACTAGATGGCGCTAGTGCCAGACGTCAACTTAGGCGTGCAACAATAGCATCTAAAACTGCTGTTGGTGTAGTTCTTATACAGCCTGTGGCAGCCATACATGCCAATCTCTGGTAACGCTGAAGCTTTTTTTATAGTGGTGGCTTCATTTTTTTTGGTCCACCATACCAGAGCGCCGTATGTAATCATGGGCGAATTACAGTTTTGTATAGCCACAGTATAAGTTTTAGGCGTCAAACCCCATCGTTTGCCAATCGTGTTTCTGTATTGCCAGAAAGTTATACTAGCTTTGTTGATTTTGCTTTCTATGTGTTTATTCCGGTTAAGTTTACTGTCCAAGGTAAGACCTAAGTGTTTTACCTCAGAGGATAGCTGGAGTTAAGTGCTGAAAAGGCTTGGGAGATGATAGTATTCAGCATTCATTTTTGTATGAACATTACTAGAACCGTTTTGTTTGGATTAACGGTTAGGTCATATTTCCTGCACCATCTCTCCACAATATGGAGAGCCGCTTGGATCAATTCACACACCATGCTTGCTGTCTTTCCAGAAACCAGTATTATGAGGTCATCTGCATAACCAACTGTGTAGAAATTATTGCCATTTAATTTGCTGATGAGTTCATTATTGACCATATTCCACAGGATAGGTGAAAGAACCCCTCCCTGCGGGCAGCCTTTCTTGATCTGAATTGTTTGAGATTCACCAGCAATCTTCATTGTTCGTGTACTGAGTATGTTTGCTATTCAGTCAATAAGTGCCGGTTCAACTTTATGTCTACTTAGTGCACCTTTTATGCTGGAGAAGTTTGTTTTATCAAAAGCACCTTCTATCCCAGACATATTACTTTGTTTTGGATGACCTCTTCAATCTTTGTTATTCCGTGGTGAGGTGCCGATTCTGTTGATTTACCTAAGCCGTAGGCGTGTTGTTTTTCGTATAGCGGTGAGTTAATAAGCGCCGACCCCTCAATTCCCTTTCACACATCCTCTCCATCGTCTTCAGGAGAAAGTATTTGAGGCTAATGTGTCAGTAGGATTTAGGGTCTGTAGGATTTAGGGTCTGTATAGTCGCTTTTACCTGGTTTGGGTATGAACGTGACTTTCACTTCCCTCCAATCCCTAGGAACATATTTAAGAGCCTAACCCTCCATGTAAATGGGTTTGCTTCTAAAAACAGGGCCTGACGCATCAGGGTCCTGGCTAATCCAGGCCTCGCTGATCATCTTCCTCTGTATAGCCACGAGGATGTTATCAGCTACCTAATTCGTTATGTGACCTGAACGTGCACACGTTAAGGCCACACCCAAATCTGCTTTAGCAACAGAAGCTTAGCTCGTTCTTGCAGCCTTTGGTTGCTGTTCGAGTCGCACTTTTTTGTGCTCGCCTCTCGGCGGTGGACTCTTCCAGCATACTTTTGGCTGCCCTTTCTTTCTCACCAGGACGCTTGGCTGCTTTCTGCTTCCTGGCGTATGTCTTAGATGTGGTCCTGGCGGCCGCGCCTGCTACTTGGGCTGGATTTTGGAGTTTCAGCATGGCTACTAGTACCAGCCCCAAGCACCGCAGTGGCAGCAGCTTGCCCAGCTTCCTTGGTGCCACTCTTAGAAACAGCGAGCGGGGCCTATTTCATTGCGGATTTTTTCTCGTTGCTTCTTATTTTTCTTCTTTGCCTTTGCACCACTGCCTGCTGGGATAAACCCACCTGATGGGCCGTCAGGTCGGCAAGTCACCTTTTTGGGTGCCTTGCCCTTCACCTTACGGCTCACCACTTGTCAGGCAACAGAGAAAAAGTCATCTATTTTTTAAGGCTCCGCAGGAGTTTAGCTACTCGCAGTCCCTTGCTCTTTGCTCTCGTGCGGCTCTTCAGATTTGGAACTAGTTTAAGGAACATCCAGCGCGGAAATTGTCCCCTTCCTGGAGCCACCTACGCGGGATGGTCTAGTCCGTGGAACTGTCGATTTAGTGGCGGTTCCTCAATGTTTGTCAGTGTCTAAGGTGAGCCCCTCTGATACGTCTCCCTCTTTTCTAATGGGCCTTGAATTGTCCATATTTTTATTTATTACACATTCGTCCCCACGTTTACCCACCCTCCATGGAGCCCGCACCTTAGGGAACGTCCTACTTTAGTATTAAAAGAATTTCAGGCGTTAGGATTACCGGTGGAATATAGGAACGCGAAGTTGGCTCACAGCGCGAACTCGGGAGCTGGATCCAGCTGGCAGATAGGGCTGAAAAGGCACATTCCCACCACCTAACCCTTTTCAGGGAAACTAGGCAGCCCCCACATCCCTTGCCTGTGATCCTCTGACGGGACGCTTGGCCATTTCCCTATCTGCGGCTAGCAGATAGCGCCACCGTTTAGCTCTTGAAGGCCGGACCAAAGAGGGCCTCCTCCATCGGAGTCGGAGTTGCCTCTCGACACTATATACCCCAGTGACGATCAGCTCAACCCTCCAAGACTCCTTCATCCCCGCGTACGGCGCTTAACAGCGCAGGTGGGTGTGTTAGTCCACCGGATACACCCACTCTCTCCGGCGGAACCACCCCTCCTCTTTTACCCGGGCTTGAGACCGGCTGCACCAAAAAGCACAGGCAGAGTTCAAGTAGTATATCAGCACCTAAATTTGAAATTAAAAATTTCATTGGTGTAGGTTTTTTAAAAAAAAATTACAGCAAGTGCTTAGCCCTTGATCTGCCACGGCTCCACGTCTCAATGAAGAGTATTGAATTGTAAGTTGCTTGGTCTTTATTTGCAGTATAGCAGAGTTAAAAAGAAGTAACGACCGGTTGTCTGAGAGGATTCGTATTTTGAACATGAGACTGTGCTCTGCTAAACAGTTTTTGGGAAGAAATTCGGCCCGCTGTAACAGATCCTGCCTTGGAGCTAGTGCTTCTGTTAAGTAAGTTGTTTTCGAAACAGTAAAACTAAACAAAGTGACAAACAATGCATTTGTGATTTATTATATTTACGCAATAACATTAAATGAAACTCGAAACTCATTTCACAGTTCTTATCGCATTTCAAATCACTCACAAAGGAGTACCAATGGTCAATGGTCAAGGGGGGGGGGGACACTTGAGTACTGTAAAGCACCCGAAACGTAGGGATATCAAAGGTAAAATTAAACGCGATAAAGTCTGTAAAATTAGTTTCATATATGCATGTGAGGTTGCAGATGTCCATTGACTGCAGAAACCACTTACTATCATCATTATAGAAACAATCAACCCCTTTTTATCATTTTATTATATATCATCATCATTACAGCCCTTCACAAGTCCACTGCTGAACATAGACCTCACCCAAGTAATGCCACAAAGCACGGTCCTGAGCCACCTGCATCCATCGACTTCCTGCACGCCTTACTAGGTCGTCACTCCTTTAAGTGGGGGGTCGCCTTACACACCCATAATCCTAAAACTTCCCCATCATTCCCTTTAGTAATTCGTTGGGCTATGTCGGTCACTCTGGTACCTATTCTAAGTTCATCATGTAGAGAAAGCCCATCTCAGATCCATAAGTCATTATTATGTTAAGTTATAACTTGGTTAAATGTATTTTTGATTTTCAGAAATGCATCAACAGATGCCCTCAATACCAGCGTCAAAAAAAGTGCAAGTCATCTTCTGACAACGGCTACTTCCCTTGACTTTATTGAAAAGTAAGCACATGCAATTCGACAATCAAAACTAATACAATCCTTTGGCAATTATGATAGTAATGATTTACCTATCGTTTAATTTTCATTTGTAGTGACTATAATAAGGTGTGTAGTGGGGGATAAATAAAATCCATCACCCCATTTTATACCATGAGTATTGTAAGAGACATCTATAGGAAATGAAAGATCTCATGGCTATCAATAGATGCCTGTATGCCTATCTCGTCCAGACATAAATCACCCAGACTGGCGACGGGCATTATGAGGCAGTCTATGGGGGAAGGCCTTTTTTTTGAACGTGTATGCTGTTGGCTCTGCGGCCTTTACAGCTTCATCGAAATAGACTCGTGAGTGAGGACTCACGTGCTATTGAGTGCAACGATTCGAAGCAGTCGCGAGGCACCCCGGGCCTTGCCTTTGAAGTGAGGCTCCTCTATCGGGGGGGGGGGGGGGGGTGGCTCAATGTGATTCAAGAGTCCCTCTGAAGGAGGTACGAACCCCGGCTTGAACCACTATCGTAATGAGAGGAAACGGGTCGTAACTAAAAACGCCCCATATATATAAAGAGCCCTAGTTAACTACGCCAAAGGAAATTGAACATCTTCGAACGTCTACTTTAAACTTCTAAGTAAAAGCGGCAAAAACCGTAAAATTAGTTTTATAAAAGTTAAAGTGATAGTTACAGCCTATATAGGTCCCACAACTATGGGACCTATATAGGCTGTAACTAATTGGCTTGTGCCCAGCTGGGCACAGGACAATTAGTTTTATAAGTATGACAATTTTTCAGAGAACCAACGATGACGCGTACGACCGAGGTACAGACTAGTTATCGGGACACGTAAGTTTGTTTATTAATAATAGTTATTAATAATGAACATGTGAATTACAGAGTATTAAAATCTTCGTAAAAAATATTTCGGAAATAGGGTGAAAATAAAGTAAATAATATGCGTTTTTTAACCCATTTAGACCGATAATTATTTTTGTGAAAAATTCATGTTTCATTAACAAAACCTGATCCAAGAAAGCCTAAAAACCGGGGGAAAAATATTTAAAAAAAAAATTAATAAGAGGGGGGGCGACTGAAGGGACGTACCACATATGGTACAGTAGGACTATATGTATGCAAAAAAAAGACATGATTTTACTAATTAGATTTTATTTACTTTTTGGTGTGATACATAATAAAGCACTCTACGTGGACACCGATATTGCACTTGACACATCTTGTAGGACATTGTTTGTGGCATAGGCCACACCTGGTCCTCTTTTCCTGCTTGCTGACATAGTGTTCTTTGCCGTCGTATCGAGAGTCTGATGTTATTGAAGATGGTCGACTAGGACCTGGCCTTTCGCGTTGTTTATTACAATCGATAATATAGTTTGCAATACGACGTCGAAAGTTTAGCAAGTCGATATTCCCTCCATTATGTCTGTACAGCAGCCATGCATTTTGTACAGACATGTCTATACAATGGAGAATCAGAGGCATATACCACTTTTTTCCTCGAATGCTAGTTCGCAATGACGATATATTCTGATCTGATAAATCTACTCCACCCATATTTTTATTGTATTGTTGAATGAGATGAGGTTGAGAAACAGATATTTTCTTTTTTAGTTGCTGAGAATAGCGTTCAGTTTTGTGGACAGGATCAACACCAACTGCATTAGAGCATACTGACACTATACTATTGTCATGCCACTTGCAAATTATAATATCATCAGATATGCGATAATCATAAAAGCCTCTTTCTTTTGTCTTTGCTTCTTTGTTACTTAATAGAGGGCACTTTCCAGATCTATTTTCTCTGATAGTACCAGTTACACGAAATCCCCTCTCAGTAAGTTCATGAACCAAAGGCAAACCGGTAAAAAAGTTATCTATGAAGAGATGGTAGTTTTTTCCATAGCCTAATGTTGCTAGTTGATCTGCATAAGACAAAACCACACTTGCACCAAGACCAAGCTGGGAATATTGGGCATTCGTAAATGTAGAAGCACCTTGGTATGGTTCAAACCATGCAATGTAACCTCCTGATGTTGCACCAACCCATAATTTGTATCCATATCTTATAGGCTTGCCTCTAATAAACTGTTTGCAGCCGTGATGACCAAAATATGGGACCATAGCCTCATCAACACTATGATTCTCCTTATGTGGACAGTGCTCAAGAAACCTCATAGTTAAAACTTTTAATAAAGGACGAACTTTTGCAAATTTATCGGATGTATCTAAATTTAGATTATCAGCAACATGAATATTAGAGTAAATTAGTGTAAATCTATCTCGAGACAAGGCTGAAGCAATCAAACTATTTCTTGAGTCAGATGCATTTTCCCAGTACATTCTTCTTCTGCTCACTTGGCAGTAGCCACTGACTAACAAAATCCCTACCAAACATTTCATCTCTTCAATCTTGACGTCAGCAGAGAGAAGCTTACGTGCTAAGTATCTATTGGTTTCAATAGTAAGCATCTCAAATACTTCTTCTGAAAATAATAAAGAAAACCATTCTATCGGGCTTCTTTCAATAGGAGTATGATAAAGGGGTTTCCAAACAATAGGTCTTAGCTGCAAGTCTCGTTTTCGCCAATTGTAATTCATGACACGTTTTTTTAAAGGTTCTTGAAATTCGGGAGGGGTTTGGTCCTCAGTTTCTGGTTTTTCCATTGAGGTTGAGGCAGCAAGCTCCGCTGGAGCTCGAAGCAAACTTCCAGGCAAATTATTTATGCTGACGTTATCTTCTTCACCCGAGTCCTCGTCAGTTTGGTAATCATTGGCGGTGTCAGGTGGAAGTAAAAAAATATCAAAATCTTGTCTCTGGTTGCTAAAATCATCATCTTCCTCAAGAACTGTAGCAATTTCATGTAATGTCAATGACCTAAAACAATAAAACACAAAAAGATAAATAAAAAGCTAATATAATAATATGTAAATTGACTTAGGTATTTTGTGCTCATACATAGACCTACTGTACCATATATGATACACCTAATCTAGCACTGTGTACACCTTACTAAAATGACCCAAGTGAAACTTATTTGTAGCTATTACGTCTATTGTAGCCTAGTATTTAAAATAATACCAACAAATAATATGATTTACTATAGATAACATGAAACTTACCTTCTTGAAGACATTGTAAATTGTTTTTTTCCGTTTCTGTCTAGCAATTTTAATATAAACTGATAATAACTCGCATAAAATGTGTATGTTATATTGTTGATATAAAACTAATACTCTGAGTTATCTGCCACAACTAACCAAAAAAGTTAATAATTTGTGGGTACATCAAAATATTTTTACAAAGTAACTGTACCACATAGGGTACGGTAGGCCTATATGGGTTTAAATTGCTCTTGAAATAATATGATGGTCAACGAATGTTCATAACATTTTTGTATAGAAAAGTACTTAGAATATTGTATATCTTTATATTTATAATTCGCCTGTACATGTGTTTATCATTGAACTCCTCTTAAATGGCTGGACCGAAATATTTTATGTGTTAGATTGGGTTTCTGGATGGGTAAAATTCACGATTGGACCCGTTAGGTGGCGCTGTTGTCGGAATGCAGAAATCATCCGTGCGAAGCCGGGGTGAATCGCTAGTATTATATGTAATAGCAGGAATTTTTAAAGTTGAGATTGACATTAAAAGGCGAGAGGCGTCAAATATTCTTCACTCTCTTGTACCTTTTGTCTGTAACAGGTTACTAAGAGATGCCAGAAAGATTTCTTTATATATTTGAAATCTAATATATATAGATAATATACATTAGATTGCATCACCGATAGACGGCGATGGAACCATTTAGATGGCGTATGTGCATTATACCTCTTAGACCAACAAAAAAGAAAGACTGAGCGCTGTGTGCAAAAACCAAGCTGGAACCATGCTCAAATTATTTTATGAACACGCCACAACAGACACATGCATCTATAACCATGTTACATAACCAGTAACATGATTATAGGTGCATAAGTGTGCGTCTAGCAGTGAACTTTTACGGGGGACTGATAAAGAAAAAAGATTTTTGTATAATATATAGAATAAGAGTAACAACGAGCACACAGTCCAGTTGATGGTATGTGGTTGCTGCGGCTCATAGATATCTACATCTATCCTCGGTTATGCAGATGCAGATGCGTGGTCACCCCTGAGGACTAAGATGGAATGTCTCATTTCCAGTAATAATATGATGTTAATAGTAGCGATAAGTGTAAAGGCAATACAAACATTCAAATGTATAATGTCAGACCTAAGAAAAAATAGGATTGACAACCCAGGTACTAATAATTTACTGTTCTTGATCGTTCCCTCAGACCTGATATAGAAGGAAAGATACGCGGAACGCTGCGCACTAATCAAGTGATACCGTAACCACATTCTACTTGTTGACATCACGCACATATTTTACTTGGTAGCGCTATGTTATAGCATAATTGTGGTTGTAGCACGAATGGGTCGGCTCGAACGGGGTACTACCACGCTCTCCGGAATACCATCGTAAAATAGCAGCTTAATGCTGTTATGTTTCGTATGGTCAGTATAGAGAACCGGAGACCCCTCATACATGTAATGAGGCATTCTATCTTGGTCCTCAGAAGTGATAACACATCTGCGTTTTGATGCTTAATTGAGAACTATTATAAAACAGTGACATTATTAGCTGTTTCTAAATAGTGTTCTTGTAGGGACGGTGAGGAGAAACTGTGTGATGAAAATAAATGCAGAACTCTGATGGAGGAGTTGAAGCAAAAGATTGTTGCGCTGGAAGAGGTAAGTTTATTATAAATAATAAACAATGTCCTCCAGATCGCATCACGGTTACGACTGCCAGTCACAACGTGGACTAGCTATATGCGCAGGACAGGATTATAGTGTGTGTGCGTAAGCACAGGTGCACTCTCTATTCCCTCGCTTTTATGGTCTGATGGAACGGCAATTCGATATGACCGAAAAGATATCAGGCGTAGGATAATGGTATTACGTACTTAACTGTGAAGTGGCGGTGTAAGAATATCCAATATCCAATATTGTTCCATGGGTCGACGATAATGAAGAAGAGGCCACGAAGGAAAACTGAAAAAAGAAGTGGACAGTAGCTTCTTTTTGAAAACAGTTCAAAATAATAAAAAACTGCGCTTGTCAACCCGCCTGCGCACATGGCAACACTGGTAAACTTTCCAATAGTAGTGTAGTGTAGTGAATGGATGGTGCTTTGAAAGACACGAGGGTGAAACACCGCCAATTTTCTATCTACGTTGCTACTGAGAATTTCTTGACAGAAGAAACCCGATAACTGGTTGTGAACACGACTCGTGAGTCGAACCCAGGGGCTCATGATCTGCAGTTCAGGGACGGGCTGATGGTAAACACATGCTGCAAATTGGATAGTGATTCTTCCATTCCTTATTTAAAGTTTGAATGTTACCAACGAGCTAATAGCCCACCTAAGTAAGCCGTGATACGCGGACACCTGTAACAGACTTCATATAAAGCGGGCCACAGATGCATTTCAACAGAGGGCTAAGTTGATATATCTCATAGCCTTCTTCTTGGCGGGGATAAAAGTTAAGAGGGTGCTACTAATTCAGACGGTCCTCTAGTCAGTAAAAAAGACGAACATATTTTTTGTCTTAAAAACGTCCACATATCCACACTGGGATTGTGTGTTGTATCGTGGAGGCATTTTACATTTTTATATAACTGCCATACAATTAAAAAAAAATAACGGAAGCTTACTCAAACATTTATAATTTTTTCCGCGTTTATGTATGTTACCCTTTTGTTACAACGTCTTTATCCGGAGCAATAATTTGACACACTTTCTCCTTGTGGAATTTGAACCTGCGGTTCCGCTTCGCGGCTAAATTCTAAAACTGCGTTATGAAGCCAAAAATAACTAATCGTTATTTTTTAAGTTAATTATAAGAGGCGGCACAGGAAAACAAATCAGGGGATTAGCAGTAAAGTCTTCCTAATAAAAACTAAAAGAACTGGTTACCAACTCGCTTGACAGGTGTAGCGACTGTGAAAAATATTCCCCCTATGATGCTATCTATGGGGGAGGCCTGTGTTCAGCTGTGGACTTTAATAGACCGTAATGTTAATGTTTTTCTTTAACTGACGGCTCCGTGGCGCAGAACTAGCAATCAGTTGCAGCGCTAAGGGATGTCTGTCCTTGTGAAATTTATGTATGTAAACTACGATACAGGAGAAAATCCTAGTGTGGGTGTAACGTTTTTTAATAATAATAAAAAATATAATTTTTTACCAGCGTAAGAAAATCCACTACCTCTTATTAACCCGTGGGTGTCTTAAGAGGCGACAAAGGGATGTAAAACAGGAGATGGGTAGCAGCATTTTTCTGCAAATAATAAAAAAATCCCATAAGGCAGTCTATGGTGTCTTAAGTCGCAGCAGTGGACTTGTGAAAGGCTGTAATGACTGAATGGATCATTTCCTCAGGAGTTGTCCAAAACCCATGAAGAATACATAACGCGTATTAGCCGATTGGAGGAAGAAGTGTTGACATTGCGTCAGACCGGTGGCTTAGAGCGCTTCACACTGCAGCAAAGCGAGCTGCAAACTGAACAGCTTCTACAAAGATTACGTGCTGCGGAGGCGCGTTGTGGTAAGCTCTTTAATTTATGGACCCATGAAGTTTAGTATGTACAGAAACTTCATTAGTTGATGACCAGTACAAGTCGCAATAGGTGCATACATAACTTTACCAACTTAAGGTTGCCGTTGAAAATCAGGGCTATGATGACACATCTTAGCGTTTCATGAGTGGCTGTTCTATTTAGTTCATTTCCCATAAAATAAGTTATTAAGATTAGCTATTCGCTTTTTTATATTTATTTTGTACCTATTTTTTTTTCAACGTGATTTATTTTTTATTGTAAGTGTATAATTAAGTCTATAGTTCATTTTGAGTATCCAATGCAAGTTTGTTAAAAAATGGGCAAATAAATATCTCTTGTATTCTCAAAAAAAATGCCCGCCTTTGGTAGGATAAGCTATTTAATTATTATTATAATAAGTTGAATAGCTTAATAAATATCCGTTGGTGACCTCGTTCTTGTAAATGGTAAACTAATACCAATCAAGAAATATACACACAGTGTGTGAATTTCTGTGTTAAGTTTGGCAAAAAGAGGGCAACGCAATGGCAATGCGTACAATTCGCGGCACGTAACTCTAGCGCTGAACGAATCGTGGTGGAGATAGCTGCGAATGTCGTATCAGTACGGGGGACAGAATGCGATAGGTGAGCCAATCAGCGCGTGCGAACGTTACGTACAGCCAATCATACGCAGTAATGCGCAATATGGACAATTATGCGCAGTAAAGATCACCGCTTGCCTTTCGTGTCGCGAGTTGATACACGGAACCATTTGAGCCACTTGCTAATCCAAATAACTCAAAAACTATTTGATCTACACATTTGCAATTTTGCATAACTAATACCAAATATCTTGAATTTCATGGATAATCCTATTATAGTTCTTGAGTCATAGTGTTTTGGAAGCGCCATTTTATCACTGGTTCAATCATCAAAAACCTAGGCCACTTCTAGGTTCCTTAGAAACTTGAAATTTGGCATTTAAGTAGATCACTAAACGTATATAAGCAGGCAGTTATTTTTTTAGTTTGAGTTATTAGAAAGATGCAGCTCCCCATCTCCTGTTTCAGTTTTTCTCTGTCGCCTCTTACGACACCTACGGGATGATATGGGATAGTGCATTCTCTTACGTCACCCCATAAACAAAAAACTTTTTGTTTTCAGACGATATCAACCTTCAACTATCTATAGAGAAGGGCAAGGTATTCGAGCTAGAGACGCGGCTGCGAGCTGCAGACATTTCCACGCAAATCGCCAAGACTATCGAGCAACATCTCAAAAATACTAACGTAAGCTCATAATCGTAAAATCAACCTAGTAGTTATATCAAATGGAGAAAATAAAACGTTATTTTCATATTTTTACCATTTTGTTGAAGTTGAATTTGTTGAAGTTCGAGTGACAGACACACAATGCACCTGATGGTAAGTGGATGCTATTCGCCATACATATCATGATAACATACTTAGATGAAATATTAACGACCGTACGTAAATCCTGTAGTTGTCACGCGTGGCTAGCGAGTTGGTAACCATACTTTTTTTTATAGATTCAGTTGTTATCCGGAAGGTGCTGCTACCCGTCTCCAACTTCTGTTTCCCTCTCAAGATTCTCTCACACCGCTAATACGCGGATACGCACTTTTGGACCAAATAAAGGAATCTGAATGAATGAGTCATGCGTTTCTAGACTGAGAAGATGATTAGCAAAGTAGCCTGATTGCTTTACGCTAAGCAAGTGATATCCGATTTGCGACCAAAGGGATAATTTACAAATAATAGGAAGCTGTCAGCTGAATAGGGGATATTATATAGTGGCTTAAATATTCGCATAAACCAAGAGACGCTCACTCGTCTGAAACCTGGCTAATGCGATAATATCAAAGGTAAGCTAGTAAGGGCGCAGTATCAGAGACGTGGGAACAATCAAACAGATTAGAAAATTAGCAATTTATGTTGGTTTGGCTGTGATTTGAATTATGAATCCATCATTGAATTGTCAATCATCTATAGAAAGTTTGAGGATGCATAGTTTGGAAGTCGAATAACTTAAGAGCCACTTATATGGCTCTATGACGTATAAACCTGATTTTTACTGACAGATAGCTGATGTTATGAGGAGTAACATATTTTTATTTTAGAAAATCATTTAGGAATCTGCGCAAAAAATTAAAACCCACGTAATCCAATTGTAATAAATCCCACACGGGCGAAGTCGTGGGGAACAGCTAGTTGTTAAAAATTTATATTCATAGGGCCATAAAAGACTGGTGTCATGGTATCACCCTATTTCGTCTCGTGAGTGTCCTAAGAGTCAACTAAATCACATGTACGTATATGCAAACAAGATCGTGAGACTCCCGATAGATGTATTTTTACGATTCAAGACAATATTTTCAGCCGTTTCATTAGCTCTTTTTGTTTCGTGGGCTTTAATATTATTTTAATATAATTTTTAGATAGATTCAAACTTGGCAACACCTATTGGATACATGTTCACGTGATAAGACGATAACTGTCGTAAAAGTGCCAAAAACTTTTAACAATAATATTTACGTTAAATAATATTATTTATCGTTAGTTTAAAACGCTAGAAAAGGGACTCAATGGCCGCAAATAATACGGTTTGCGATGTGATCACAAACTAAGTTTGATCCAGTTAGTAATTGTTCTTTAACAAATTTGAATTTATTGTGAAAGTTACCATCAGATCAAGAAAATGTTTGGGATAAAATCCGGCTCGACCGGGAAACGAACATGCTTTCCCGCAGTAAAATAGACGCTTAATGCTGCTGTTTGGTATGATGAGTATAGAGAATCGGAGACCCCTTTTACTGGAAATGGGTCATTCCATCTTATCCTCATGGGACACAACGCCATTGCATTCTGACTTAATTGACGATGGATGTAGGTGTCTATAGACTACAACATCCACTTACCATCCGGTGTATTGTGTGCTTGTTTGTCACCCTTATTTAAAAAAAAATACAGTGTGCTAGTATTATTTTCAGCAATGTAAAATAGTCTTGCTACCAAACACTACATTCACACGAAGATGAAGATTTAGCAGTCCGCCATTCACATTGTGTTTAATCATTTACAATATAATAAATTCACAATTAATCAACAATCTTTTTGCATTTACAACTACGTTTGGTTGCTGAATAGGATCCACTATAATTTCTTTTGAGTGTATTTAGATAATACATGGAGACTTTGACAGCCAAATAATTAACGTTTAAAAAATTTCAGTCCGAAAGGCACATTTCCACTAATTTAGTGGAGCAAGAGGATACGAAAATTTCGCAAAAGCGGCCCAAGAGCTGTGACGACTCGGGATACGTGGACGCAATCATGCCTGATGATAGAAAGGTAACGTTGAATACGTAGATGTGATGTGAATTTAAGAGGTGAGAGTAAGTCAGCTCAAATTCTAATTTCGCCCCCACTTCCCCGCGCGTCGTATGCTATGTACCAACATGTTTGTAATCACTAATACTCTAAGTAGATAGGTCGTTAGATACTAATTTCATTATGTTTATCATATATATGCCTGTTTCTTAACGCCAACCCAGTCGCTTCTTATTTTTATAACGGTTATTTCCCATTTTAATTTTACGTCTTCCTGTTGCGTAATGTGTTTTCTGATCGTAAGCGACACAACTTATCCCTTCAAAAGCCGGAGCAATACTAACGGAGCGACAGGAACCAAGCTTACGCGCCGATAGTTTAGGTAATTTCTTTTTTACAGTGAAAATAATGATATTTTAAAAAAAGTAGATAACATAAGCACTGCTTTATGGTTAGTTCAGTTAGTATGCAAAGTTTCATGATCTTATTTAAAGTATTTTATGAATAACAGCGGTTTATTGTTCAGTTTGGAGGTAACTTTGGATTTTTTCTATCGAGAAAATTTTACGGAATCGTGTTTTCGTCTAACATAAACCTTAACATTAATCCTCAACTTTACCATATATTTATTTCAAAATTAATGCTGCAATACTTTCGGCATAACGGAGGATCTTGCTAAGCCATTTGAGGTTATATTTCCCCTTAATCTTTAAATGACTAAATATGTCAATAACTTATAAGATATAAATATGTATCCAAAAACATAATAAAATTTAGCAATTTAACAACCATTTATTTTATGAATAAGTTTTTATCCTGCTCAAAAGACCAAATATATGGGAGTAATTAAGAACAGCTTTAAATTTCATTACTTTTTGAATATACTTGTATCACTCAACGGGTTGCCGCAGTTGGGTATTCTTCACAATATAAAATCCAATTTTGTAATCTCGACTTGTACGTGGTCTGAAAACGCCTAATATCAAATGAGAAAAAAAAGGTAAAAAGGGGTTAGAATGTTTTCTGTAATAATGAAACAAAGGCTAAGGAAGTAAAAGGGGTACATTGAGGTATACAAATTACTAAAAATTTAATAAAAATGGTTTTAGGTTACTTAGTATGGCTATATCGATTCTTAATAAATATTGTAGGAGCTGGGTATGGTTTAATAGCCCTTAAGGGTGGCAATGCAATTTTCGATTAATAGTATAAATAATCGAGATTAAAGTCGGTCACTTGTATATCGTTTCTGGTATTTATATATAATATACGAGTAATTAATGCAGTAAGCTATCAGAGACAGAGAGTAGTAGGTTTAGTAATTTTCTTTTCTTGGACTTCTATCCTCTCGAAACGGGTAGGATTTTTTAGGCGATGGAAATGTAAACCGAACTGAGCTTTTTATGTTGTACTAAAGTTGATGCTAATTTAAACCATGTAGCACTTATTTATCTGCTACTATTTACAGAGCCCTGACAAAGACACCAATAATGAATTGAGGGAGAAAATATTAGACCTTCAATCACAAATAAACGCTATTAAACTTCAAGCAGTAAGTATAATTGCAAATTTTTAATTAAAGTATAAAATATAATTTAAGTAAAGTGAACAAAGTCTTCTATATAAATGAAGTAAAGTCTTCTTTGTTTGAAGAAGGTTGTAAGTGTCCATGTTTATTATAAGCAAAATAACAAAGAAAAAGTAATGGGGTCGTAGAGTAGTAAATGAACACAAAAAAAAAAAAAACACCAAAATTGAATAAACAAGCCGCCGCCGCCACGCGCCACCGGAGAAAGAAAGAGTTTTAATAGTGTTTTTTTTTTTTTATTTTTTCTACACGACAAATTTTTTTTTTTTTTTTATGGAAAATTTTATTTAGTTATTTAAATATTTACTAAAATGCACATGTTTACTTCCTCAGGCGACTGAAAAAGATGCTGAGAAAAAGATACCGAATTTTGAGCGTTACGACCTTGTAATAGATGAGGATGAAGTTTCATTACTTAAAAGTGTTAACGATTCGAGTAATATGATGAAGGATTTCCCATTAGCTCGGGTTTGTATATTGTTTTTAAAGCTAGAGCTAGGATATAAAATTATATGTAATTAGATATGAAATAGATTTGTTTAAAGTTTAAACCTTGTTTTTTGTCTTAGTCCAAACTAACAAGTGTATATTCTTCACCAGTTCACTGTTGAATAGATTATTTTGACATTGTGAACTTTATATATTCATAGATATATATTTATTTATTATATATTTGCTATAGAAGACGCGCTTGACACCTTTGTTGTTGCTCCCCATTGCCGCTCTGCTAATTTTAAATCTATACACGAAATTATTATACCTCTATCTATCGGTGGGCCAAAAGATGTGGGCAGGAATAGGACGCGGGTGGTAGGTGTCACCGCACCGCTGCAATACTATGTTGTATAATGTGTGCTAAAAAAATAAAGTAATTAAAAATCCGTGGTAGCTTACTGTTGTACGTGGTAGTTTGATCCTTTGATCTCCGCAAGTACCATTGAAATTGTTAATTGAAATTTAAAGTATTTATTTACTACGTGCTCGGCGGTAAAGGAAAACATCGTAAAAAACCTGCATGTCTGAGAGTTGAAAAAATATTACGAAGGCATGTGAAGACCACTAACACGCACGGGGCAACGATACTTTCTTGTCCTTAAACTCTCATAAATAAAAGAAGGCCTATTTCCAGCAGTGGGACGTATATAGAGTGTTACTTTACTTTAAAGTTATAAATCCCACGGTTGGGCACAGGCATTCTGATTTATAAAAGAGCTATGGAGCGTTTCGTATTCAGTACTTGTTGAGGACTTTACTTGTTCCTTAATTATTTTATTTCTCAACTGCGCATAACAGCAACCGAAAAAAAAATACGTGCAGGTTTCCCGCGGGTTGTTTTCCATCACCACATACACGTGGTAAATCAACGCTTAAAATTGCAATAATCATTTTCATTGCTCGAACCCGGATTGCTCGCGTGCTATGAAAATCTTGGCTAGTGCTTAGTCCCTGAGCTATCATGGTTCGTATATCTGTCATATATAAAAATTTAATATTCTATATAATTTAAATCAATAGTCCTCACAAGTTAGTACTTCTCTTATAAGTACTACTTCAGGCAAAGTAATTTTCTTTCCATTTTTTGTAGATCGATAATTTAAATGCTGAAAACATTGAAATCAAAAACTCAGGAGTAAATATTCAACAAGATAGAGGACAGGACAGTTTCAACAACAGAGTACCAACGTCCGATACGTTGCAGAAGCCCAGCGAAAGCTTACCTGCGAGTGGTAAAGGGATTTCGGAGACTTCGGAGCAGTATGTTATTTTTAATTTAAAACTACTTTAAAATTAGATTTTTTTAACATTTGCGTACTTTTGTGAAGTAAATCTGTTTGATGAGGACTTATTCAATTTTTTGAACATCAAACTAATGAAGAAATTGCGATGGGCTTTTCATATAGCTCGAAGAACTGACAACCAATGGGGAAGAAAGGTTCTCAAGTGGCAGTCTCGTATTGGTAACCAGAGTGTAATGCGGCTGCCCACTAGATGGAGTGACGACTTAATAAGAAGAGATGCAAGAAGTTGATGGATGCAGGTGGCTCGGGATCACGCTTTGTAGTATTCATTGGGGAAGGACTATGTTCATCAGTGGACTTGTCATGGGTGAAACCGGTAACTATAGGGCTGCCAGTTCAGCAGATGATAAGTATCTACTGCAGCCCAAGTAGTAAATACATTATCATACCTTGATCTAAAGTTCGTATTTCGACCCTATTTTTAGGGACGAAATACGTGCCACATTGTTCCCGATTACTTATTATAGTCAACCAAATCTAAGAAATACCTTTTGACGTTTCACATCAATCATTTCGCAATAACTTTGCGCAAACGTACGCATATTATATTGTCGATTTAAAATAACCTTTTACGTAAATCCGAAGAATTATGAAGTTACCTTTATTTAATTACAACGTGTATAGTTTTTTTTATCACTAATTCAAATTTGAATCGTTCAAACAAAGCAAAATATTTAAAAAAACCGGTATCAACCGTTTTACTTGACGTCGTTTCAATGATATGTCGATATGTACCTTACCGTAGTGTTTGGATGCTTAAAATTCTTTGTCTTGCGAATAATCGGCAAAAATATTCAAATAATCGGTAAAAATATTCAAATAATCGGTAAAAATATTCAAATAATCGAATCATTAATTTTTGAATGTCTTATTTGTTTAATTATTTTATATTTTTAAAAATCCTTGAATTATATGAATCATAAATAAAATAAGTTCATTTTTGTCAACGTAAATTTGTGTAGGCAAAAAACTCATACAGGTAGGTACAAGACCGCGCTGAAAAAACTACTACGTAATTTCAATCTCCCGCCATTTCAGGAGCTTACTGTGCGTAATTTTTTGTTTGTCTTCTTATTCTTTTATATTCGTTGAAGCATGTGCCTATGTCACAAAGGATGATTGGGCAAGAGAGGTATAAAAACAAAAAAATTAATTTAGTATGACTTTGAAAGAGATATTAATCTTGACTGCATTATTGAACATCAAATAATAACTAATCTAAACATCGACAGCTCAACTGGTTGTACTGAAAGTGATTGAATAAATTAATTCTTAATCTAGTTTCAATATTAAATTTTTGTAATTTTGCCTCTAGAAATAAATCTTGTGTTTTAAATTATCCGTTTTAATTTATTCTAATATTATTCAAACCAAACTAAATGATTACCAACTCTAAATAACCGATATCGATTTTTTTAAGAATCGAATATTGTACGTTCCCATTTTTTGGTTAGCATGCTTGGTGCAATTAAAGTTGGGCGTTATAACATACAACAGATAATATATTTCATTATATATTTGTAATCTTACAACACATTAGAATAATGAACCATTGACTGTTATAATATATTCATTATCGTTAGAAAACGTCATCTGTTTACGTTTACGCTCCAGCCGTCGGCCGAGACGCGGCACCACAATGGGAGTCAATAAAATACTACATTCATTATGCCACAAGGATTGCGTATAGCTTACACTAATTTAAACTCTAAGCTAACTTAATAAGAGCTTATTTTACTAACACTAAATTATAACGGTAAACAAAAATATATTATTTCTTTCATTGCTAGCTGTTGCCTGTTGTGCCTGTTATTTAATTTTTTGGCTGTTGTAATATATTAGTGTTTAGTGTTCAGTTAGCTGTCTAGCTGAGATGACAATGACACTGTTATCTGTTAAATTATATACGTAATGTTTTGATAGCAGGTCCGCATATTACGTGAAAAAGCTATTGTTGTTTTTGTTTATTTTTCGTTAAGTTTTATTCCTCCAGTAATTTTAAATATTTAGTGTAATATAGACAGGATTTAGCGTGTTGTATGTAAAAGTGTATAATAATGTCGCGTCAGCGTAGCGCAGCCATTTGGAACTATTTTAAGTCTAAGTCCAAAGTGTGGACGAAAAACAAGCAGTGTGCAATTAAAAAAAACTTTATCTTTCAAAAGTACAATTACAAATTTAAAGCTTCACCTTAAGCAAAGACACGTAGGAGTGTATGAAGAGTTTTGCCATTCGGATTTAATATCGGATAGACTCACAAGGCTTACGTCGTCAAAAGTAAACCAAATAATGTTTTTGAATAGTAACTGAAAAAAAAAATGTAAATAATTGTAGATAACTAAAACTTTGACCACAGTATAAATAATGTAAAAATTCAATCAAAATGTACATAACATCAATAAGCTTCTAACTACGCCTGAATGAGTTATTTTTCTTAAAATGTTTGAAAATATGAGTAAATAATTATAACAGATACAATAGTTTTACGTTTTAAAAGAGAATCTTTTAAACCATGAAACACTCAAATGATGCTAATACAATTTAAAAATATTTTTTTTTGTCTTCGTATAATACTTATAATCGTTTAATATTTATAATATTTATAATCGTAATAATCTTTCATCATAATATCTATAATCGTTATAACAACATACAAAAAAATGCTAACACAGCCAACAACTGAACTGAACTAACCGCGTGTACAATGTAATATTTGAAACTGTTATAATATATTATAACAGTTTAAAACAATAGTTAGAAAAATATATTACAACAACATAACGAATTAGAAAAATATAACAGTTTCGCCCACCTTTAGGTGCAATAAGTCTGACGGCTATCAAAATGTATTTTTTAGATTTGGTTGACTATAATTTAGTACCCATGCGTCAAATTTCTGGCTCTATACAGCTCTATCTTAGAGTAATTACATACATACGTATGCATAGAGAGAACCTACAATTCTACCTAAGTTGAGTCAATATACTTGTCTCGATTTTTCTAATTTAATTTTCAAATAAGGCAATCAATATGCTGCGAGTAATTCATGTGTGGAAATAGAAATTTCATCTGGTCATCTTTGGTCTCTTTATACTACACCAAATTTGAGAGTACACTCGTATCTTCAGATTTACTTGAAAAATGACATCCCTATTGTAGTAGTATTATATGTGACGTTACTTTACAAGAGATGACGTCTTTATAGTGATTTCGTTTGCAATGTCAGCAACAATCAACATCTATATACTAGTTTTTCTAGTTATTTATTTTTATTGTTTAAAAATATAAGGAAAATAGGACTAGACTTATTATTATTCGAACAATCAAGTAAATTTCTTTCTTAATTAAGTGATGATGATTGTTGTATTATATTGCAAATATTTATTGCGCAAACTTTAAAAACTAATAGTTAGGGAGGTATGAATACAAAGTCGTGACGCACACGGTACACCAGCATGTTGGATCCCATTTGTAATTCCAATTTTATATGCTGACTAACGATGTGTCCCTTCGCACGACTGTTTTCTAGATCTCGAAAACAGCGCTACTTACCTGGTCCGATTGTGAGTGTGTGTAATCATCAAAATCGATCCAGCCATTCTCAAGTGATTATCATTCATAAAATTGATTTTAATTTAGTTAGTAGGTAGTTAGTGTAGCGGCGGTGTAAAAGAATCCACTACCTCCTACCAAATTATGTTATAACCTAGAAGCTCTAAGACCCCATACCATCCCGTGAGTATCGCAAGACACGACAGAGAGAAATGAAACAGGAGATAGGCAACAGTATCTTACTGATAACAACTCAAAATAATAAAAAAAATGCGGTCGCCAAATCAAGTACTAAGAGAAGGAACTATGGCAAATATTCCCTCTACATTCAGCAGTAGACTTTTAATAGCCTCATCATCATCATCATCATCATCATCATTACAGCCCTATCATATTTGATAGCCTGTAATTAATGAATCAATAACGGATTATAATTTGAGGGAGCAGAGAGGAAAATGGGCAATACGTCCGTAATCGATTTAGTGGTAGTTGTGATCTGGTGACAAAAGAGAAGGCAGACCGCGGTCGTGCCGCTGTTATTGTACTATCGTAGCAGTGATCTCTGTGTATGTTCCGTGAAGCAAACTTTTTGTCCATCAAATAAACAGTTATTATTTCCCTGTAATAATTTTTTTAATAGGATAGTGTGACAAACGAGCACACAGTCCACCTGATGGTAAGTGGTTGCTGTGGCCCATAAACATCTACATCTATCCTTAGTCACAAATCAAAATGCAGATGCGTTGTCACCCGTGAGGACTTAGATGGAATGCCTCGTTTCCAGTAAAAAGGGTATCCGGTTCTCTACACTCACCATACGAAACACAGCAACATTAAACTACTATTTGACGCTGGTATTCTTTGAGAGCGTGGTCCTTCCCCGGTTGAGCCGACCCATTCGTGCTACAACTATACTACTAATAGGCGTAGTGTAGGGCGACCCCCCACTAGATGGAGTGACGACCTAGTAAGACATGCAGGAAGTCGATGGATGCAGGTGGCTCAGGACCGTGCTTTGTGGCGTTACTTGGGGGAGGCCTATGTTCAGCAGTGAACTTGTGAAGGGCTGTAATGATGATGATGAATGATTCAGTTAAACAAAGTTTAAGAGATGCAGGGAGTCACTGGATGCATGTGGCTCAGGAGCGCGCTTTGTAGCATTACTTTGGGGAGGCCTATGTTCAGCAGTGGACTTGTGAAGGGCTGTAATGATGATGATGATGATATAACATTATGTATAACTTCACAATGATTAGTTTATTTAGTACGCATGCTTAAAATTTCTAGCTCTATAGTTTTTAAACGTCAAAAGTATATGTCATGATACTTTGGGAATACATTGTATTACTTGAATTTAAATCGAACTTTCAATCCTGGTCTGATAATTTTTTTTATAGGATAGGGTTACAAACGAGCACACAATCCACCTAATGGTAAGTGTTTGCTGCGGCCCATAGACATCTGCATCTATCCTCGATTGCAAATCAAAATGCAGATGCGTTGTCACCCGTGAGGACTAAAATGGAGTGACTCGTTTCCAGTAAAAAGGCTCTCCGGTTTTCTACACTCACCATACGAAACACAGCAGCATTAAGCTACTATTTTACGCTGGTATTCTGTGAGAGCGTGGTCCTTCCCTGGTCGAGCCGACCCATTCATGCTACAACTATGCTATTATTATAACTGCAGTATGGCTCTACCACGTATATGCAGCATGGCTCTACAACGTATAAATAACATAGTATATGCAATACGGGAGAAAAGTATGACATCGCAACCCGCGTTCTTATACAATACAATACGGTACCATTCGGGTTGCAATGTCATATTTTCCTCCCTAGTGGCGTAATATACTATTAATTAAGAAATTCTACAAATGTATTGTCAACCCTAGGAACCAAATGAATTGCCTCACAGCTCGTTATGGTACTGTCTCTCCATCCCTTCGAACCGGAGTTCAGTAGTGTGCATTGTGCATAGAACTCCTTTGTCATATCACCTCAGTTTCAAGGCAATCCCCTTGCTGCCTCAGATAGCATCGGAAGCCTCGGAGTCGACATATCGAATAGTGTGCAGTTTTGTGGTCTCTTGGAAGGGAAAGCCAAATTGGCCTCTAAAAAGCTTGGCGTGTTCAGCAGAGCGAGACAGTATTTCATGCCGGCACATCGCCTGCAACTTTACAAATCGCAAGTTCGGCCTCACATGGAATACTGTTCTCATCTCTGGGCTGGGACACCCCAGTGCCAGCTCCTTTCAGTCGAATCGGTTCGAATCTTCGACGACCGATTCACTGGCGCTGCATAGGGATGTTGCATCCCTTTGCATTTTCTATCGCATCTACCACGGCAAGTGATCTGAAGAATTTTTCGGATTAATTCCAGCCGCCAAATTTAACGAACGCGTATCGCGTCAAAATTCACTATGCCGTCCTCACCATCTGGATGCTTGGCGGTGTGCCACCACTGTGCGTTTTACTAAGAGTTTTCTTCTTCGTACAACTTCTCTGTGGAATTGTTTACCACCGGCGATTTTTCCGGACCGATACAATTTAGGGAACTTTAACCCTTAGTTCAGACACGGCGGATACCGCGCGGACGCAAACCGCGCGGGTCAACCGCGCGGATCTTATTATAATGGCATAGTACTAGAACGTTCATACTACACCGCGCGGACCATGCAACCGCGCGGTAGCCGCAACTCGACCGCAAGAAAATGAATTCGCGCGTTCGCCGCGCGGACGTAATTCTATGACAATCCCTGGGCGTGTTCAGTTGCTCCGTGGAATCCGCGCGTATCGCACGTATGACAATGGAGCGCTTTGACACCGAACTATTCATTGACGAAGTTGAAAAAAGACCAGCAATATGGGACATCCAGTGTGAAGATTATTCTAATAAAATTGCCAAAAATAAGGCTTGGCAGGACCTGGTAGAGATTTTTGGTATAAACGAGGATTCATTGGAAAAAGAACAAACTTTTTGGTTAGTAGGTACTTTATTTAAACATTTCTCCTAGTAGTTACTTTACATTGTTTGTGATTGTGTTTACATAATATAGATACCTACCAATGTAATATACATATTTATAAGTTTATATTTTAGTATCTTGCCATTCTACACGACCCTCATTCACAAAGTAATTAGCATATCTATCTCTAATGTTCAAAGATGAAGGTGTACCTCTTCCTGCATGTAATTTATTAAGACTACTCATTGGCGCAGTGTACAAAGTGTCTTTATACCGTACACCATCTCTTGTCCTAACAAAATTGTGTAACACGCAACATGCCTTTATTATGTCTTCGGCAAAGTCTATGTTAACGTTTATAGGCCTATGAAAAATACGCCACTTGTTTGCTAAAATACCAAAGCTGCATTCAATATTACGTCGAGCCCTAGATAACCTATAGTTAAAAATCCTTTTTTCGTATGATAACCCTTTACCCGCATAGGGTCGCATTAAGTTTTCCGATAAACCAAACGCTTCATCGCCAACTATAACGTATGGTAATGGTAAAGGATCTGCGTTAGATATTGGTTTAGGTTTTGGTATGTGTAATGATTTTTCTATTAATCTTTTATAAAATATTGAATTTTTAAATATTGCAGAATCACTACTTTTTCCATATGATCCAATGTCAACAAAAGTAAAACAGTAATTAGCGTCACAAAGTGCCAAAAGTACTATAGAAAAATAGTTTTTATAATTATAATATAAAGATCCAGAATCATCAGGCATTATAACCCTTATATGTTTGCCATCTATGGCGCCTATGCAATTGGGGAAATTTGCATATCTTTCAAAATCTATAGCTATTCTCTCCCACACATCTTCACTCGGTTCGGGCATGACTTTTTTTGCGAGTATTTTCCACAAAGCTTTACATACTTCACGGACAATTCCTGTGGTTGTAGATTTGCCAAGACGAAAGTTGTAACGAAGTTCTCCAAAGGAACAACCAATAGCCAGATATCTGAAACAAAAAAAAATACCAGCACATATTATGAAAACCTTAACATTTTTCTTAACGATAAATTTCTTATTCAGGTGTAACATTGCAAAAAAAATGGAAGAACATACGTGATGCCTACAACAAGGAATTCAAAAAAGGCAAGTCAGCTCCTTCTGGTTCAGGTGCATGTAAAGGTTCAAAATACATGTATTTTGACCGGCTTTCCTTTCTTCAGAAGACGGTAGAAAATAAAGAAACAACTAGTAACATAGAAGAAGCGAAAAATGAGCATAATGAAGACAGTGACAAAGACCAAAATAATTTTGTGAATGCACGTGAAATACGCTCCCCTCCCCCCAAAAAAAAGAAAAAAAAGTAAAAGTGCACCAGAAGATCGATTGGCTAACATATTAGAGGAGAGCATTCAGTCACGAGATAAATTACAAAGAGAATTACAAGAAAATATTTCTAACCAAGATGATGATAAGCTTTTTTGTTTATCTTTGTACAAAGAATTAAAAAAAAGTTCCAGAAAACAAGCGTTTGGCTACTAAAATTGAATTACTTCAAGTAATAGAGAAGGGACAGAAATTACCATTGCCATTTCGCATTACAACAAACCAGCAAAACATGCATAATACAGCATATTTAAATAGCCAACCATATTCAAATCCACAAGGATATTTTACTGGATACTCTACAATTGTACCAGCGGGATCTCCATCGCCTTCATCATACACTACTGATGACTCACAGTCTTCTATTGTAGAAAATATATATTCTGATATTATGTGAAAATAAATACCCAATATATATTCTAATATAACATAAATATAAATATATATTCTTATATTACATAAATATATATTCTGATAATTATTAAATAAAAATAAATACCTTACCTTAAAGTGATCACGAGTTTTTCTTCTGGTGATACGCTTGACCTCATATGGGTATTAGAAGATGTAATTTGTTCACTGATTATTTCCAATAATTCGTCAAATGACTTTATTGACATTCTTAAATAGTTAAAAAATTCGGAATCATAATTCCTTAACTTTGCATATAAAGACACAAACTGACCATGAGTGAACCGATCTTGTAAAATTGGATGCACCCAATACTGCCGTTTCCTTTTTTTTGTGGAGTAGGAGTAAGTACACACATATTGCCTCTTCAACTTCCATGATTGAACTGAAAGGCTGTCACCCTTCCTCGCAGTCCTCGCACCGCACAATAACCGCGCTTGTCTGAACACTTCACTATTCTCGCGGATCGGACCCGCGCGGTTTGCGTCCGCACGGTTTCCGCCGAGTCTGAACGTGCTCTAAGAAATCCGCTGCTGGAGTCAGGTAAGCGGATGCTTCCGTGCGCTCGTTTTTTATGGCCCCATAGCCTCCGCGTATCGGACTCGGGAATCCGTTACGCTGGTGGAGTTGGAGGCCGTGAAGGGAGGCATGCCTTGTGTTCCTGGTGTGACTTACCTGAGAAGAAGAATGGGGAGGAGAAGTCCTTTCCTGAGGAGGGGCTGCCATAGGGCGACCAGTGCTGGTCGTGCCGCGGATATGTGCGCTTTCTCGAGGCCCTGCCAATATGCGGCGACGGTAGAAACACCATGGGGTTTTAGTCGATGCGAGTCCTCATAAGTCATAACCTGTCCTTGCCCCCGCGAGGCGAGTATTAGGCGTAGGCATTTATCCCATGTTAAAAAAAAAGGTCAGCCTCCGCAGTCTATTTTACCTAAGGAAGCCTTGTGTAGGGGCAAAACACATATCGTATTATAGGCGACGGTGTGTCTTTTCTAGTTTAGTTGTGTTGGGAGTAGTGGTGCTGGGATTATTGGTGACGGGGTTAGTGTAAGCAGTTGAGGTAGGGTCGGAGAAGATCTTCAATGTAAGTAAGACTTAGATAGATATCATTTTTATTACGCGGATCTTAACTTGTTAATTAACATTTTCAAGCTCAAAAGTGTTATGTGTGGTTCACAACAATAGTCGAACGGCATATTCAAACCTACGATTTTCTGAGTTTCCAGTCAATACCGTTAAGCTACTGTCACTTCGCTAATAACATTTACAAAGGCACTAGTTAAGGCCGAGTTCTTAAAATTAAACGTGTTTTAGTCGTACTTGGGGTTTTCAAAGCCAGTTTTTTTATGTTAAATGTTTATCGCTTACAGATATACAGCAATAACTCATAAAAATAATGAAAAAATAGAAAATAGTGTTTCCTACGAAAAGTTCATCCCCGACAAAATGAAGGAAGGCAATGTGGAAACGGACGAGCAACAAAACACATTGCACACTATGACCGGGTATTCTGCTGCAAATTTTGTAGATGTTGAATCCGCTCCGAATGATAATTTGAGTTTTAAGAAATCTAATAAGAATGATGAAACAAAACAAAGTGATCAAATTACCAAAGACGTCACTACAGAAAATCTAAACTATAAACCTGAAAGTCCTGAAATAGCTGAAAAGAAAACTGGAAATGTAAAAGACCTTCATTCTGATACAAAAGACAATAGAGACAAAGAAAAATCGAAACAGAAGTTTAAAAGGGAGTCTGATGTTTTAAATAGAAAAAAATTTGGACTTGACATACCTAAGTCAGGTTTTAATGTTTATAGTAAAGAAGCCAATTCTGCTATGAAAGATATTCCAAATAAAAATACAAATTTTGATTATATTGAACCTAAATTTCGCAAAGAAAGAACTTTGAGGAATAGCAAATTACAAAAGAGTTCTTCTGCGCTCGAATTAACGGATAACGTACAGCGTATGTATATTTTTGATACTTTTTTGTAACATTCAACTCTACCGTGTAGTGGCGGTGTAAGAATATCCATTAACCTATATAGCCCCATGGATGTCATAAGTTATTAGTAGCATCTTCCTTGTAACAATTAGGAAATTTAAAAAAAAAACAATAAAAAATAAAATATAAATTTCTTTGCAACTTTCCGCTAAACATATAAAAGATGTACCTGGATTGAACCCCTCCCCCCCCTGAATTGCCACAACTCCGTCACCCTAGACAAAGCACCATATATCCAACATAATAATATGATATCTACAAATAATATAGATCTATATAAAAAAAAAGTTATGGAAACTACAATAATGTATATATGAATGATTGCCAAACTCTTGAGTATATCCAGCAGTTAATCAAGCAATGATAAAGAAACATTGTTGCCATTGGTGAGTTTTATAAATACTCTTTGGTTACTTAGCAGGTTGCATCATGTGTAGTGTCCTCTTTTTATACAATAAGGGTGACAAACAAGCACACAGTCCACCTGAAGCGATTGCATGCTGTGGTCCATAGACATCTTCATTTATCCTCGATTAGGAATCAAAATACAGATGCGTTGTCACCTCTTAAGACTAAGACGCCAATGCCTCGTTTCCAGTAAAAATCCGGATCTCTACACTCATACGAAACACAGCAGTATTAAGCTGCTGTTTTACGCTGGTATTCTGTGAGAGCGTGGTCCTTCCCCGGTGGAGCCGACCCATTAGTGCTACAACCATAATATAGCTGCAGCGTGGCTCTACCGCGTATAAAATTTCTTCTCTTTATCATCCCAAAGCAATCAAAAAATTTTTACTAGATAAATTTTTAATGAAACTGGAGTGATAAAGGAACTGACATAACAAAACATCCACCTGATTGTATGTAACTCGCTACTGCGGTCCATGAACACCTGCTTCTAACTTCAAAAAAAGAAAACTAATAATGCTTTGTCACCTCTGATGTCTAAGATATAGCCTTACAACCGGTAATTGTATTGTTTTTCAACAATTTTATGCGATGTGGGTACTTACTTTCCTTATAGAAGTGGGGGTGACAAAGGAACATAAAGTTTATCTGATTGAGAGTGGTTGCCGGCACAGAGCCACCTACATCTAACATCAATCAAGAATCAAAATGCAGATGCCTTATTACCAGTAAAAAGGGTAACTATCTGGTTCACTACCTCGCACTCAATCACCTTACGAAACACAGCAGCATTAAACTGCTATTTTACACTGGTGTACTGTAAAGACGTGGTCCTACCAGACTACGAAGTGCATACCACGTACAATAATACGTTTTTTATATTTGTCTTATGCGCTCTATTGTGTTGCATACATTTGTGGTTAAGGGCTATATTGCGTATTATTTAACAGATAAGAATAATGTTCAAGTTCCAAAAGGAGATAGGATTGGAACGGAAAAAAATCTAAAGAACGGTAAAGGTAGAGTCACGCGTAAGAAAGAACCAGTGCGCAACGTTAAAAAGCAAAATCACTCTAAAAAGAAGACAGATTTAAATACCAGGCAGTCTGTTAAGGCCAAAGCACATGAAATTGAACAGTTAGGTAAGTTTTGTTTTGATATTAACTATTAGTTAATGTAACAGCTAATGTATGGCCGATGCGCCGATGTTAGGAGTCGATATCTACAGCCTTACTTGGCAAATTGATTTCGAATAAGATTCTGTTTTCAATTCAAACTGGCGTTGCTTCTAATCATATTTTAATAAAAGCTTGCTACCGAACCAATTCCAATCAAGAAACAATCGGGTTGCGATCGAGTGTTATCAACGCCGTTAGGCGCAACCGGATATTTTTTATTCGTATAATATAGTTTTTAATAAATTAAAAACTCATTTGTAATATATCTTTGTTACACTAATCAAACTTGTACAACTACGAGCGCCATCTAACGGCTACGCTGATATAGATATCCGTTTTAAAAATTTCAATTTGAACTCACCATTCAATTTGCTCGTTAGCTACGATCTCGGGAGCCTTTTTATTGGTAACTGAAGTGTGGGTCAGTATCCCACAGAGTGACGACCTGTTAAGATATGCAGGAAGTCCATGCAAGCAGGTGGCATAGAAACGTGTTTTGTGGCATTTCTAGGAGTAGGCCTATATGCTGAATATGTATGTATATTTAGAATTGGGATGGACTGTGATGATGATGATGATAATGGAAGATTATGGTATAAGTGTAGAAGATAGTGTCGGAATATGAGGATATCTCAATTTATTAGAAACTGGCGACCTACTCCGGCTTCGCCTGGGTAGGATATATTAATGGGATCGCCCCATTAATATATCCTACCCAGAATTAGATTTTGGATAGTCAAAATTATTATACCATAATAAATTTTTGACTATCCCTAATATTTTATCAATTGTAATGTTTCTTAATTCAAATTTTTTTGGATAATATAGCTTAGATCACATATGGCATTTCTTTCTATCTGTTAGTGAAGTTTCATTACAAACGGTTTAAGAATCTCGAAGATTAGCCCAACACAAAAATTTAAAGAAATGGTTGTTTATGTCTTAATGACATGCAAATACCCTCCTTCCTCCGAGCTTAATAGAAGCCAGCTGTTTTAATATTACAGACAGACTCTTTAATTTTATTTACACGAGGCATTTCATTTTAGTCCTCAAGAGTGACAACGCATCTGCATTTTGATTCTCAATCGAAGATAAATGTAGACGTCTATGGGCCACAGCATCCACTTAACATCGGGTGGACTCTGTGCTCGTTTGTCACCCTTACTCTATAAAAAAATGTATATACTATGTATGGATAAATGATCTCAAACCTCAGATATATGTGAATGCACCGCTGGGATATGCACGTGCCCGAGTCAACGTACCGATGTAAGCGTATATTGTGCGTGTAGTGACACAAGCCGCTACCTTTTCATCTCTTCCGAAAACAACACTTTCAAACACTGCGCCTGCGCGATAAATAATATACAAAGGAACAGTCGAGATTTTTCCTGTGGTACTTTTTGAAAGTTTTTTTATTTTATTTTGTAGTTTGCTATAGACCCTTGTGACGTACACAAATATCATAGGTACAATTAAATATAATATATACGATAATATATTTTTCCTTATTAATAAATCTTTGCAACAAGTTTTTTAATTTTGTTAGTTAAAGGTTATAAAAATGGTGAAAATAACTAGATAAACTTTTAAAATAAAATGGTTAGATCCTTGTTCGTGGTCATTCCATAAAATTTAACTACTAATATAGACCTCACTCGTCGTAGAAAAAAAATGTCTTTATCGCCATGCTTGTGTGGGTGGATTGTCGATTGTAGTACCGTATCTTTGTCGCTGCTCCTCGTCAGCGGTAGGGGTGTATTACAGGGTGTTTTGCTAAGGGTGATGATGATGATATACAAGTGCGGTGTGAGAGATATACAAGATGATATGCCGACGCTTTACATTCTTTTGAAATGTACGAGACAAGTAGTAATTGATTATTTTACACCATAATACCAATTAATTTATTAATAATAGTATCTCTTAAAACCCTTTAATTAATTTTGTCGGAAATTTTCATCATCTCGGAAATACATCAAGTGTGAAAGCGGGTGGCTTCTCACTCTAATGCGTACGCAGTTAATCGGTAATAAAACTTGTTACTAAACTATACATTCAGTATGTAGCAATCACAGTTCGACCATACTGTAATATGTCCCCGTCAAAATTACACAGTAGTGTAACATGAGACATGTAATTACATGTATGCAAACCAACAGCAATACTACACATTCCGGTGTAACACAGAGCAGCCTCTCTTCAACATCATTTTCCTTGCGTACACTAGAAGAACCACCACAACGGACAGAACCACGATACTATGTATCTTAGAGGAATGATTTAGGCGGACTCTCTCGCGCTCGGCATCTACACTGAACTTTATACTGTATAAACGATGTTGTGCAGTTAAGGTGTCCCTATCTACCCTCAATTCTACTCCGCCACCATCGATATAACGCTCCGCTAATGTGACGCAACCTCTGCCTCACTCTCGAATTCTAAGTGCAAGAATTAGCTTAAGAAGGAAAGTCTTGGGTGCATTATGTATGTAATAATAAAAGTAATGTTTGTATTTTAACGTTTACGTAAAAAATAATTAAAAGTAAGTGGTAGTAGTATTTTTAAATATATTTTTCTGATATTAGTAGTATTTAGTAAATTTTTTAAATTAATGTATAAAAAATATATAGTCTATAAATATGAAACCTTTTTTTATTAATAACAGTATACCAAAGTTCACCGCTGTACACAGGTCTCCCCGAGGAATACCACAAAGCGTGATGCGGAGCGACTTGCATTCGTCGATCTCCATATCCTGTTTCATTTCACTCTTTTACGTCATCCACGGGATGTAATCTATATATTTGTAATTTCTTTAATTGTCACAAGAAGTATATAATTCTGATGTATTGTGGAGTATCTTTTGAAAGTTTTTGTTTTACAAGTACGTGAGGTTTTTACGTGGTAGAGTAGTAGTGTGTCCATTCGTGCTACAACCACATGGGTGGTGCTCGTTTTCACCCATATTCTGTAAATAAAGTATATAAATCTGAAATATTGTAGTGTATCTTTGAAAGTGTTTGTTTAAAAAACAGGTGTTGACAAGCAAGCGGACGAGTGTTCCTGCAGCAGCGCGCGCACGTACACAGTGCGCCAGGGTGCGGACGACACGGACGGCGAGATCTCCGGCTTTACTGACCTGCCCGACGAGACGGATGGTGAGAGTCACCATCACTGCGATTGATCGACTCTAGTGGTTGGAATAGAGTAGAATCATTTTTATTTTATATAGATTATATCGTGTGATGATTGTATATGATCATCATATCGTTTCGTGGGTGTCGTAAAAAGGCGACAGAAGGAAACAAACCAGGAGATGGGTAGCACCATTTTCCTATCAACAACTAAAAAATAACTACGGTTGGCAACCCGCTTGCCCACCGTGGCAATTATGACAAAAGGGGGGATGAGACATTTTTGTTAAAGTCTATATTCAGTAGTAGGCTTTGATAGGCTGTAATTTAACTACTAAATTTTATTTATTTAAAAAATAATTGATAGAATCAGGCGTTACTGTGCAGAAATCCATAATAATAAAAATATTAATTACTCTGCAACTTTCCGCTAACTAAATACAAAGATGTGTCTTACCTGAATTGAAGAGCACCTCCCGCCCTCCCTCAACGGTAATATTATCGTCGATGGTGTGTCTTACCTGGAATAGTGGTGTTGGAAGTATTGGTGCCGGGAGTAGTGGTGATGGGACTAGTGGTGACGGAGTTAGTGCATGCAATTGAGGGAGGGCGGGAGGTGTTCTTCAATCCAGGTAAGACACATCATTGTATTTAGGTAGAGGAAAATTACAGAGTAATTCATATTTTTATTATTTAAAAAATGTTGAATGAATAAACAATTTTAAAATAAGAACTTTGAACCAGAAATATGGGTAGCTACATCTTCAAAGCACAATTGTATATTTTAGATTCCACCTGAATCGGAGTATCGCAGTAAGAGTAGAATTATATCAACGAGAATAATTAATGCTACATTTTGTTTTGTCCTGTTACTTCATCATTTCATTGTTATATAATTGAGATTTTTCTATAATATTTAAAGAAAAAAAAAGGAACTCGCGGTACACCTGATGGTAAATGGTTACTGAAAACTATGGACACTTATAATTAAATAAAAAATTAAGCAAGAGTCAATGAATATGAAATATGCCACACATCTTGTAAATGTATTAATACTTAATGTTAAAAAATAACTAGCGGTGCGTTGACTGTTGCTTGACCAAAAAATATAAGGTGTCTGATTCAGATGGACTCCTAGATAAAAAAGCCTTACCATGTAGTAAACGTAGATTGATTAGCAGTTTTGAGTGGAACTAATCCTAAAGCGATACAAGAGAAGCCCCACCACGTGTCATGCCGTGAAGCAGGAGATGTGCAGCAGTATCTTCGGAATAATAACTGAAAACAATAAAAAAAACAGCGGTTGCCAACACGCACGCCAAGCGTGGCAATATTGTAAGATCCTCCCCCCTAAAATTTATGGGGGTTAGCTGTATTTATAAGTGGAGTATATTTATAAGTAATAAGTAGTATTCTCTTGCGCTTTGGGCAGAAAGTCCGAGAGTTGTACTGTCTCCCGGCGAGCAGGTCGCGAGCGTATACACGTGCACGGACTGCACGGAGACTTGCACGTCCGCCGCCGACTGCCTCACTCTCAGCGAGGGTGAACTGCCCTTCGCAGCTGAAGGTGAAAATACAACATTGTTTAGTATTTTTTTAAATATGTTTTTTTTTGTATATTGTGGTTACGCGAGTAAAAGAACACATAGCTAATGTGAGGAATCGATGCTCCGGGAAGTCTGTAGTCTGTAAATACGTATTGAATCACCCCCTTCACTACAATCAGATTTGACATATCCCACGTGTCCTCATTAATGAACACCGATTCCATCCAAGGATGATTCGCGAGGCTATTGAAATTTAAAAACATCCTAATTTTAATAGAAAAGACAGCTGGGATGGCCACTATCTGCTTGGGATCCTCAACCAAAGCATATAACAGCAAGACTTCAAGATACTATAAGTTCATATTATTGTGTAGATGGGACCAAAAATTAATAATTTTATATAAAAAATGTGACAAAATCCGTAAAAACTAGTTTTGTTTGTGTAGTATTCACGTAAACATAAGAAATCTTTAATTATATTCATTTAAAAAAAGACTTCCTCTTAATGCTGCTGCAGTTATATTAGTAGTATAGTTGTAGCACGAATAGGTCGGCTCGACTGGGGCAGGACCACGCTCCCACAGAATACGAGCGTAAAATAGTGAAAACCGAAGACTATTTTTACTAGAAACGAAGCAATCCATCTTATTGCTGACGGGTGACAACGCATCTGCATTTTGATTCGTAATCGAGGATAGATATAGATGTCTATAGGCCGCAGCAACCACTTACCATCGGGTGGACTGTATGTTCGTTTGTCACCCTATCCCATATTTAAAAAAAAAACTGTAATTTTACTTGTTCTCTTTATGTTACTGCGTAGTGGAATAATTGGTTAAATATAATTATGTTATTCAGTAAACAAAGTTTATGAGATGCAGGGAGTCACTGGATGCATGTGGCTCAGGAGCGCGCTTTGTGCCATTCCTTTGGGGAGGTGTGTGATCAGCCCGGGACTTATACGTCTTGTAAAGCAGTGACTGTAATGATGATGATGATTACTATTTTTATAAGTATCATAACTTTCTTGTTATATGCTTTTACAACAGAATTCTATTCTGTCTGAAATATTTTAGGAGTGATCCACTTTAATACCATCAGAATGTTGCTTCATCGTTGTTTTCTAGATTTAAATAAATTTTTATATAATCAAACTATTTTACATGAATATTTTTTTAGGTAGGGTGTTATCGCCTGGAGAACGAAAGTGGAAAAGTAGTAGCGGTGAAGTATCGTGAGTATTTATAATGTAAACAAATATGTGCATTTAAAGTGTACAAAAAGCAAAAAATGGTCTTTTATTTTTTGAAATAATTTTGTACTTAAATAAAATTTGGATGTTCAAGACCTTTTGAAATCCATACTTTTTAAACTATTATAATACATATTATTTAATCAGCTACTAATATCTCCCACACCTGATGTAACGTGGTGATTTAGCCTAAGATGGTAAAGTGCTTGCTTGACAAAACAAATTCCTTTTAACTTGAAAATACAAATTATTCCATTCCTGCCAACCACACGTCAGAAATTTGTCTTGTCAGACTGTCGAGAGGCGCGAACTCCCTATATTGCACTAAACGTCGCACATCATATGAAATTTCAAGAGCATACGCCGGAGCGATGGGCACGCATTGAGATCTGAGACTAACGGAAATGGCCTAATTATTATTAGAAGGTTTAATTACAGAGATGAAAAAAATATACATGCCTATGGAATTCATTACATACGGCCTATCAAAATTCGCTTCTGAACATAAGCCCCTCCGAAGATTGCTTCATAAGGGGAATATTTACCATAGATGCCACGCATGGCAGGCAGATTAGTTACCGCAGCCTTTCATTTTTCAGTTGTTATTAGAAAGACGCTGTTGTTCATCTTACGACACCCACGGCACGATATCGGGTATTAAATATTCTTACACCACTACAACACGATGTGGAATCTATACCTGCGATATGGGTTTCTCGGAACGGATAGGGTGTGCAGGTGGATGTCTGGCGTGTGGTAGATAGACTTTGTAGATAGACTTACAATGTGCGACCGGTTTAAACCAATTTCAGATTATATTTCGTCGCTTCATTCTTCAGATACAATTAACTTAGGTAGTCCCTTAACCTACTCGAGGAATTCGCACGTTTAGAGAATCGATCTATTTTAAATCGATTTTTTTTCTGTTGGCAACTCCCACTCTCCATTTACCCACCGGTCCGATATCCACTTCATTCCTTAACTGTGCGAGGCAACGTTCGCACGTGCCTTTCTTTAAAAGTGAAAATAATTTATATTCTGTGGTTACTATGCCAAAAAGAAAAAATGAAGAAAAAATTAAACGTTATCGACGCAAAATTACAAAAATGGAACAAGAGCAGCGAAAATATAAACGAATCATTTATTCATCTTCTGAAAACTCTGATAAAGATTCGGGTTAGTAAAGTTTTATCTCTAAACATTATAAATACTAAATTAAATACAATATTATAAAATAATGTATTTACATTTTAACTGGAGGTTGACCGTGTGTCATCACGACGGTGATTTTAATACCGAGAGGTTAACCGCGTGTTAACACGAAGGTACTTTGAAAGCGTTCGAGAAACGATTTTACAGCTATTTTTATAAAATAATTTTATAATATTCGTATATTAATATTCGAATATAATATCTTATATAAAATTATATTGAGCTAATATAAAATAATGTATTAAAATTAATGACTTGTGTTTACACATGGCCAGTAGATTAAATTTTACTATTCGAGCAGTAATTTATTTGCCTTTGGTTCGAATATCTACCCTCATTAACAATTATTGTTTTAGATAATGAAAATCTTGATAACGCCGATATAGAACCCTTGAATTCAGAGTATCCAAGAAGCAAAAATAATGAGGAGACTAAATATGACTCTGACCAAGAACCGGTAGTGTCAGAATTAGAGCCTGACATCCTTACTGCCTTAGGTGAGACCACGGAAGAGACACCGAAGTTGGGCCCGAAACTCCATGAAAAGTTAGCTCAGCTATGGCTACCTATACTTCGAAAAGGTATACTTAAAGAGGCGAAAGAGAAATTACTCAAAGAGTACCTCATACCGAAAAACTGCGCGTTATTACAAGCGCCAAAATTAAACCCTGAGATTTCGGCTGCTGTTTCTGAGGGAACCAGGACTCGAGACAAGAGAGTCGAGGCCGTACATCAACAATTAGGGCAGGGGAAATCAGCTCTTAACAAAGGTCTCGAACTCCTCTTAGAGGATGGCTAAGACAGACTTTAAGCCGTTAAGTTTCTCAGTGACAGCTGTAGAATACTATGTGACCTACACTTTGTTGAAACGGAAGCAAGGAAGAAATTCGTGACCCGAGGATTGGATAAATCCTTTATGAATATTATGCAGGAAGTGGATCGTGATGACCTGCTCTTTGGAAGTAAGCTTTCAGAAAAAATAAAAGCCACAAGAGTGATCGAGAAACACGGTTTACAAATCAAGAAACCTGTCCAAAATTTGAAAACTTCTTACTCGTCACATCAACCATCAACAAGCCGCTAACGCCCCCAGGGAAACTGGGGAGGCCCTTATCGCTCCTCGTCAAACAGAAGGGGGAGGGGAGGGCCGAAGAAGAAAATACTACCAAGTCGCGAAGCGCCACCAGGCACCAGCTTCCAACCGAAGCCGTCGGCGCAGAGCAAGCACCGTGTCACAGCTCAACAACAGTAAAGGTACACGCAGGAAGAATTCAGCATTGTTATAACTGCTGGTTTAACATAACTAAAAATTCTCAAATATGTACTTAAGTGGATCTCAGAAGGGTATTCCATACCGTTTTGTAGCAAAGTAAGACAAATTTCAGTTCCACGTAATTCTGTACTCAGTAATGACCCGCATATGTTAAATTCTATCAAATCTTTATTGGATCTTGGTGCTATTTCACCCTGTCGCAGATCGATGGACGACTATGTTTCCAATGTATTTCTTGCTCCGAAATCTAACGGAGCAAAAAGATTTATCTTAAATCTTAGAACTCTAAATAGGTTTATTTCAACCACCCATTTCAAAATGGAAGACCATAGGACTGCGGCTAGACTTTTACCTAAATCCGGCTTCATGGCAAATATTGATATAAAAGTGCTTACCTTTTGGTTCCAATTGCAAAAAAACATCGTAAGTACTTACGTTTTCATTTTAATAAAAGATGCTTTGAATTTAACGCTCTGCCATATGGACTGTCCGTTGCCCCTTGGGTTTTCACTAAGTTAATGAAAGAACCTATTAACTATCTACGACAACGAGGATACAGGTCGGTAATATATCTGGATGATATACTATGCATAGGCGACACTTACGAAGAGTGCTCCACTAACGTAAGTAAAACGTTGTCATTGCTCATGCTTAGCAATGTCATCAATTACGAAAAAAGTTTCCTTGAACCAAAACAGATATGTCGATTTCTCGGGTTTATATATAATTCAGTTGATATGTCATTAAGTTTATCAAATGACAAACGACATGCTATCACGCAGTATGTCAAAAAATTTGCCTTACTCCCCAAATGCTCTATCAGGGAATTGCCACAACTAATAGGAATACTTACTGCTGCCTGTCCAGCCGTTAGATATGGTTGGTTGTACATCAAAATTCTCGAACGTCAAAAATATTTAGCCTTACTAAAATACAACGATTTTGAAAAAAAATCAAGCCTTCAGTTATTATTTTACCCGACCTGCAATGGTGGAAACAAAATATATTTTCCACTAGCAATTCACTGAGGCCAAACAAAAACTATGCTTTAGAAATATATACTGACGCGTCCAATAATGGCTGGGGGGCTGTTTGTGATGATAAAAGAGTAAACGGTGGATGGAAGGACGATAAATTATCCTTTCACATTAATTACCTAGAACTACTAGCCGTTTTCCTTGGCTTGAAATGCTTTGCTATTGCTCACTCTAATTGCTCTATTTTACTCCGCGTGGACAACACAACTGCCATATGCTACATAAATCATATGGGCGGAATACGGTTTCCACATTTAAATAATTTGACCAAAACTATTTGGCACTGGTGCGAGAAGCGAAATATCTTCTTGTTTGCATCCTACATTAACACACACGACAACCGCGAAGCTGATGAAGAATCACGAAAAGTAAACGTAGATACGGAGTGGGAATTATCGGAACGGGCGTTGGCAACATTTGTTAAAAGTCTGGGAGAACCTGAAATTGTTCTTTTCGCTTCTCGTACCAATGCAAAATGTCTTCAATATATCTCATGGAAACCTGACCCCGACGCAATGACAATTGACGCTTTTACAGTTAACTGGAACTCGTCGTTCTTCTACGCATTTCCACCGTTCGCATTAATACTAAGATGTTTACGAAAAATTATTAGTGACAAAGCCACCGGTATATTAGTATTTCCTTACTGGCCTGAACAAGCTTGGTTTCCACTGCTCAAAAGTATGCTCATCTCAGAGATTATTTTCTTTAAACCCAATAGAGACCTTTTGCGTTGTCGTTACAGGTTACGTCACCGACTTCATGCCAGCCTTTCCCTTGCGGCCGCGACGCTCTCAGGGCAGCATTTAAGAGACTAAACACTTCGGACATAGCACTAGATCTCATGCTAGCATCCATCTCAGATAATACTATGAAACAATATTCTAGTACATACAGACTGTGGTGGCAATTTTGTTTAAATAACCAAGTGAATACTTATGACGCTCCATTTTCATCCATAATATCATTTTTAGTGGATCTGTACAAAAATGGATAATATGGATCCATTAATAGTCATCGCTCTGCCCTATCACTACTCCTCGGGAATAATATAGGGTTAGACGAACGAATTAAGTGGTTATTAAAGGGTATTTATAGGCAAAAACCTTCCCTTCCCAAATACACAACTACATGGGATCCGAAAACTGTGCTTGATTATGTATCTAAATGGTATCCAAATAGCAATATAAGCCTAACAAAACTTACAAAGAAAATAACAATACTTTTTGCTTTGTGTACTTCTCACCGCGTACAAACTCTCTCTCTAATAAGAACTTCTAATATCATAAGATCCCCGTCAGGTGCTAAGATTTTTATAACTGACATAATAAAAACTTCAGCACCAAATCGAGAGCAACCAGTATTATTCCTGCCTTATTTCTTGGAGAACCTAAGCATATGTCCAGCTAGAACCCTATACGACATCTTACAGTAACATCTGGGCTGCGAACTGAAGGGTCTGACAATCTCTTGCTTACTCATAAAAAACCTTACAAAAAGGCATCGTCTCAAACTATAAGCCGATGGATAAAGCAGACTTTAGCAGAGAGCGGTGTGGACGTGAATATATTCACTGCCCAGAGCACTCGTCACGCTTCTACTTCAGCAGCGGCCTCCGCCGGTGTTTGTATTGACACCATAAGAAAAACGGCTGGATGGTCTACCTCATCTAGGAGATTCGCTAAGTTCTATAATCGCCCAGTAATGGATGAAGGAGAATTTGCCCGATCCGTCTGTGCGATTAATGCTAATACTAACAAGTAACAAGACAAATTATGTAATTGTTTGTTTAAATCATTAAGAAAAAGTTGGAAGTAGTATTATATTTTTGTTTACCCAAATTAAAGTTTTTTCCTAATACTATAAATGTTTTATTAACCTAAGAACATTTATCTCTGATTTTAACTACCTCTAAACATCTACCTAAGTTAATTGTATCTGAAGAATGAAGCGACGAAATATAATATGATATCAAACGAACTTCTTGAAGTGAACTTCGATCATTATTATATGAGTCGCTTCATTAGAAGATAAAAAAGGTAGGCATAAAAAACTTAAACAAATATCTCTAAAAAGAATGAAGTGGATATCGGACCGGTGGGTAAATGGAGAGTGGGAGTTGCCAACAGAAAAAAAAATCGATTAGAAAATAGATCGATTCTCTAAACGTGCGAATTCCTCGAGTAGGTTAAGGGACTACCTAAGTTAATTGTATCTTCGAATGAAGCGACTTATATAATAATGATCGAACTTCACTTCAAGAAGTTCGTTTGATATCATCATATTATCATCAGTTTTTATTGAAATTTATATATTTATATTGGTTCTACTACTTGGTTCTACCACTGCCAAACTATATTAGGCTTACATATCCATAATGCAACGGAAACGGGTTTCTATGTTGGGATATATTTTAGTACGTACAAATAAAAAGCGTAATAAATTAATTGCGTTAAAATATATTGAACTTTTTTTAGTATGCCTGATTTCTGTTTCCCGTTAGTGGTTTAGATAGCTTAAACAAAGCAGTTTACGATATTTCCTATATTCCCTTGATAGTATCGATAGGTATATTGATATTATCAAGGAAGGTTGGGATATCGATAGGATAGTAAACAGTATGAAGTAAGATGTGACTTTACTTTAACGGTACTGTTAAGTAATCACATAGTTATAATACCTTCCATACGGCGGGACGGGATTATAATGCCCAAATGTATGCGCAAGATCACTTTCTAATCCGACCAATAATCTCACATTCTAATTAATAAAGAGAGTTCCAGTTACCAGTTCTGGAAGGAAAACATGGAGGGACTTTTAGTAAAATTCTACAATAACTGAACCAGACATTTCGCATCTTTGACGCTACTACTCTGCGCTGCTGCTCGCCGGTCTAGAATTTTTACGTCTGGAATAAACGTGATGGTTATACCACAGTCTTTTAAAATCCGTGAGATCTTTCAAGGTTTTCTATCTAAGAAATCCTCACGCCGGGCTACCTTTTTTGTACAGAGGGGGCAAAGGAGCATGCGGCTCCCCTGTATGTGACGATGGTTAATGACTACCGCCGCCCTTTGTTGCCAGCCTTTTAAAAAGAGCAGCTCTTTACTTGAAGATTCCTGAGTCGTGTCAATGCGGATTTTTTTTTTTAAATGTACGTTTAAAATGTAGAGGGGAAGGTCAAGAGTACTCTGATCCTACGTGCATGTATGAAGAAGTTAATGAACCTGAAAGAAGCGAAAGTGGTATGTAAGGATCGTGACACTTGGCGATCTGTTCTCTGGCTACCCCGTTAGGGATTGTACGAATAATAATAAAAATAAAAAATAAAATATTCTATAAATCGACAAATCTATTAATATGATTTCAAATAGAGTTTAGTTTGCCTGTTTACCGTTAACTGCCTGTAACCTTATGAAGTTAATTGATTTTTTTTTGTTTACGTGAACACTACACATTTAAATGAAACTAGATTTTACGGATTTTAATATACTCGAAACGTCGGGAATATAAAATAACTAAAAACTAGATTCATTTAAATTTATTTTGTGGTATTTATCAATCGTAGCTAGTTATAATATTGTAGTTGTTTAATCGACAAACGTTGAATTTATTGCAGTGCGGAGGTGACGAGCCCGCAGAAGATGCAGCAAACGCTGCAGAGCATCGGCGCGGAGGTGCAGCGCTGCTCGCGTCTGCTGCAACACGTGCAGGTGACACGTCGCCACACCTGCAATACTTGCCACATGCCATAGTCGCCACAAGCGCCAATCTTTGCTTCTACATCTGCTTTTCCATATCTACATGTTTTTGCTCTACCTCCCACAACCACCATATGTCAGCTAATAACAGCCGCTGTACATTTAAACACTTACTACCCCGTAAATCGTGTCATAACATGCTTCAGACTTGACTATATTTTTATAGAGGAAATGGGTTATAGATGGTTATAAAGGAAACAGTCGATGTAAACGATACATTGATTTTTTCAAACATCGATTTATCGTTCGATGTTAAAACATCGATGTTTTAACATCGACGTTGAAACCCAAAACATCGATAACACATCGTTCTTCATGAACTATGTTTTATAAACGATGTTGCTTACGTCATTCGCGTTAATAGATTGTAAGAGCATTAAAAATGGTGCGTAAAACCGCATTGATAAACAGACGATTGGTTTAAATATATTGTTTAAATCAAGTTGAAGTGACAAACGAACTCACAGTGCACCTGATGGTAAGTGACTAATTCAACATGGACATATTTAACCAACATCAAACAAGGAAGGCTACAGATGTGTCGCAATCTCTAAGGGCAAAGATGGGATGCCTCACAGCCATAAATTATACTGACTCTATACACGAATCACAGCACTACAGGTACTGCTATTTAGCGGTAAAAGTAAGTAAAAGGGTGGAGCCTTCCCAGGCGGACTCCTATTTATAAAAGGAGTCCTACCACCTAGGTAATAATAATATTTGCTCGGGATGATATTCTGGTATTCCGCGCGGGGTTCATTTCAGTTTGTTCGAACTTAACAGTTTCGTGACATCGTATAACATTCTATCCCTTCCTGTAGAAGTCGACGTCTGCCACGACTGCCTCACCCGCTGGTACTGAACCTCATCTACCGGGTTAAATGGTTCCAACAGGAGCTCAACAAAGTGTTGTCTAAACAGTAATAAATAAAGATAATTTGATCAGAAGTTTTCTGGTCGAATGCGAGAGTAAACATTGAAAAATTAATTTATAATAAAATAAATCGGCAGAATCTGTACATATTATTGTTTATATAGATTAATTACAGAGATTTAAATTTTTTAAAACAATTGTTTATTCAGTTCACTTTTATAAGTTTATTTCGATTCCACACAGAGACTTATTACATATTCGTGATGACTTACTTCGAAGGTATTGTAAATTATACAGTTGTACTGTAACACTCCTTTTAAAAGTCATGTAAACAGGAAAACTCATTAGTCTTTATAGCTTTGAAATATTACAATATCTAAGGTCAAAATTATTTCTTACTCTAAAAGCCTTTTCATATACTGATAACTACATTTCCTTAATATCCAAAACGATTCGTTGTACTTCTATATAAAGCAGTTTGTAAATTGTAGTATTATGTATATAGATAAATAAAATTTGATTTGTTTATTATTTAGCGTCATATAATGTTTATTCTCATTGTTTAGATTTGTAACAGAATTTAAATCTTGTTCATTTTTTCTTCTTCAATATTGCCCTTGGTGTTTAATAAGTTGTTTCAATGTATTTTATTGACCGTTTTATATCATACGTTCCCATAAATATTTTTATCAAATAACTTTGTATAGAATTATCACCTAAATTTGTATTGATTGTCGAATCTATTATTGTACCATAGACAAAAAGAAATGACATAATATGTAGTCATTGTTTGTAAACTTTGCACTGCTGGTCTCGACCTTAATCTTTACTGGTCTCTTCTCAGACAAATTTTGGAGCTACTACATACAGTTCATTTTGCCTAATTTTACACATCTTAAATATTTTATTCCTCAAACACGCAAGTTTCTTCTAGACGTTTTCAATCACCGCCGCAGCCGTGGTAAATGAGCACTACAAATTGAAATTAACACTATTAGCTCGTAGAACCAACAACTGATCGGGATGGAAAGTTCTTGAGTGGCAGCCCCGGTAGGTTCCGTACGGCTTCCCCACTACATGAAGTGACGATCTGGTAATATACGTCGCGGAACGTAATTCTAGCGCTGAACGAAACTTGGAGGGGATAGCTGCGAATGTCGTATCAGTACGGGGGTGGAATGCGACTGGAGAGCCAACCAGCGCGTGCAAATAAATCATACCAAAATGCGCAATACGGCCAATTATGCGCAATAACGGTCACCGCTAGACTTTCGTGCCGCGAGTTGTACATACAGGAAATCGATAGTTACAGGGGGGTCCGTGTTTAAAGTATTCCTTGGGTTAGGCGTATGTTTAGCATTTGACTTGTGAAGCGCTGTGATATTGATGATGATCATTCGTACAGACACATGTATGTAAACTTAAATCAGCTGTTACTATGACAGCTGATACTTGACGCTGCTTATTTGTTAATGAATAATTTTGTTCAATAAAAAAGTAGAAATTGGTTTAACTGCCATTAACACTTTATTTTATTCAACAAAAATTTTATTTGTTACTTTTATATTATTATATTGTATGTAAGTGTTAAAACCTAGGCTTAAAATTGATACAATTTTTTTGAAGCTAATAAATGAATGTTTTCATGTTAATATAAATAAATATCGTAGTTTTATTTAATTTTTCCTAGACCTACTCATTTTATTTTTAACAAAAAGGCATTTTATTGAATTAGAAGTTATGCAGTATAGTGTAAGTAAAGTAACCATGAATAAATTAAGTTATATATTTATTTATATTAACTAGCAAACCGCCCCGGCTTCGCCTTGCTAGGATTTAATAATGTGTTTTAAATTAAAGATCTCAATACCAAGATTATATCAATTCAATTTTACAAAAAACAATCCAAGTTTTTTTGGATAAAATATAGCCTAGATAACTAATGGCTTTGTTCTTTATGTGTTTGTGAAATTTTATTACAATTGGTTCAGCCATTCCGAAAATTAGCCCGGAAAGATTCATATACAATTTTTTTAAATTGTCTATTTATGTCTTAATGACATGCAAATAATCCCTTCAACACAATATGAGGTAGTTACATCGATATCACAAACGGAAACATCAATTTTATTTATATGTGTTGATTAGTTAAGGATTCAATATCTTAATTTGAATATCGCTAACATTCTAAACTAAATATTTAGTTTAAATCATTTAATTATATTTAAAACTTAGTTATTGCTTTAGTATACGTAGGTTTGATCTTAATATTATATACATAGGTAAGTTTTTTCTTGGCTACCCGAAAAACCATGTACGTTTTGGTTCAAATGTTGACTTCGGTTAGAATTCCAACTTAGGATCCGTAACCAGAGCATCACTACTAAACTTTGAATATTAAACGAACTACCACCGTAACAGTCTAATCATTGCGTATGTTCAGACACAGTACTCACAAAACAGAATACGAACACGTACATATAGAATAAGGGTGTCAATCAAACACTCATTCCACCGGATTTTAAGTGGATATTCTGGCCTATAGACATCAACATCTATCCTCGCAAATAATCAAAATGTAGATGCGTTGTCACCCCCGAGGACTTTGATGGAATGCCTCGTTTCTAGTAAAAAGTGTCTCTGCTCTACACGCACCATACGAAACAGAGCAGTATTGAGCTACTACTTCACACTGGTATTCTATGAGAGCGTGGTCCTTGTGCCTCGATGAAGCCGATTCATTCGTGCTGCAGCCAGAATATAGATGCAGCGTGGCTCTACCACGTAAAAGTAATAACGATTTGCCATTTCACGCAGCCTGAAAATTCGAAGGACGTTTCGGCAACGGCAAAGTTGGAATCGGAGTTAATTGCACTTCGTAAGACGGGAGGCTGTGTCCATATAGTGCCCAGCTCCACACCAATCTTCTCTTTCACGTTTCATGTCGGCACTGTGGTGTTGTCCGATCAGGTTAGTCGCCGCTGTCATCCATTTTAGATTATATTTTATCCGACTGCCCCAGTAGGAGGGTAATATTAAAAGCTAGTAATGAGTCAATTCTATTTTTTATGTATACATATATTTTAGCATTTTTATGCTTTTGTTTGTTTAAACATGTATATTTATACATTTTTATTTACGTGGTAGTGCCATGTTGCAGCTTGCGTGCCATATTATGGTTGTAGCATGAATGGGTTGATTCGACCGGAGAAGGACCACGCTCTCACAGGATACCAGCGTAAAATAGCAGCTCAATGCTGCTGTGTTTCTTATGGTGACTGTAGGGATCTGGAGATCCTTTTTACTGGAAACGATTTATTCCATTTTAGTCCGCAGGGTTGGCATCGCATTTGCATTTGGATTATTAATCGAGAATAAAATGTTGAATGTCTATGGGTCACAGCATCCACTTACCCTTCACCCTAACTCTATAAAAAATGCTACCATTTCGATACAAACTAAAGAAAAATGTGTTAAAAGAAAGGACCCTAGTGTGATGACATCTAAAACTGGGTCGGGTATTTTAATTAAGTACTGTTTTAACCTTTGGACTTGGTATGGCTATGAACTAGGTGTGAGAAGCGAGCACAGTCGACCTGACTGTGTGCTCTTGTAACACTATGTAGATTTTATAGTTCTCAGATACGTTTCATGTTTCCTTGGGTACCTTGAGTACAAAAAGGGGATCCGGATCCCCCCGTTACCTGTAAAACTAATCTCCTGTTCTCCTCACCCACTTTACAAAACAGCAGCATATGCATATGCTCCTAACTCGAGCTGGTATTGCGTGTGAGCGTGATTCTTAACCAGTCGAGCCGCGTGGGTCTACAAGTACCGTAAGGAAGGCTTGCCGTAGGCCTTTAAAAAACACTTTTCACTTCTGCAAAACTAAATTTGAATGAACATCGAATTTTTTGGTGGATGATACATCCCATACGTAGGAAATACTTGAACTCTGTATAAGAAATCCCTATACGTGTCCCCTTTGTAATGCTAAACGAGCAGCACCACTTTTGTAGGCTAAAACCATGTCACCAAATGACATTGTTGTGTTCCGACATGATGCTTGGCGAGGCCTATGCGGGATGGGTTTAACGCTACTGCTCGCGTTGGTTGCGGTGGGTACTGGGATCCGAAGCACGGTGTTCCGCTAGCCTTCTGCAGGTAGTAGAGAGCCTTATTAGTGAGCTATTTCCAGCGGTTGCTCGTCCTCTCATTAAAAGTGCACTTTTCAAATATCCGAGGATTTCACTCTGATTTCAGTACAGTATAAGAGACTGATATGAAAAGTAGGTGGGAAGTGAAGGATTATCCTGGAGTCTCCGTTGAACACGTATTCCACCCACGTGCTGGAGTCTGCGTGTACGTCCCCAATGGCATCTGCCTCCAACGTCTTAATGAAATGCAGTTACGTTATCACTTGTACAATCTAAGATGTAATGCCCCGTTACCAATAACTAGGGTCTACGGTTCCCGTTACTCACCTTACGAAACACAACAGTATTATGCTGCTATTCCGGGCTAGTATTCTGTGCGAACGTGGTCCTTCTCTGGTCGATCCAGTCGATACTGCAATAGCAGCGTGACTTAACCACATAAAACAAAATATTTTAATTAAGACGATACAAAAGGAAACTTAGCATCAAGCTTAATCGCCATAACATTTATCGCAGGCGGTGGTGTCCTCTCGCGGCAGATCATTGGCCGTAACGTGGCGTTTCTACAACTCAAATTCTGCCATGGCCCGTATGTACCCTAGCCGAGTTGTGTGCTTCGATTTCTCTACCGAGTACCAACTGCCATTCACTGAGCAGTTCCTCGATTATATGAGGAATGTGAGTAATCAATTTTTTATATCTTTTTAATAGAATAAGGATGACAAACGAGTAAACATTCCACCTATCCTCGATTAAGTATCAAAATTTAGATGCATAGTCACCCTGGGGACTGAGATGGAATGTCTCGTTTCAAGTAAAAAGGGTTTCCGTTTCTCTACACTCACCGTACAAAACACAGCAGCATTTATCTATCCCTCGGACTTAAAAGCCTGGAATTTATTGTACAGGAGTACTAGTTTCTCCATCTGTACCTACAACTCACTGCAGGACACATTCTTTATTTTTGACATGCTTGCCGAGGAGGAAAGAATCTGTTCTGCCCCCGTTGCTTCATTGCAAAATTGAAGATAATATTTGTTTGCGAGATTTTTTAATTCCTAAGACATGTAGGTTTTCTCAAGATACTTTCCTTAACTGCCGAGTACGTGGTAATTCAGCGATAAAATTTCAGTGGGACCGGCGTAGATCAAATTTCGGGAGTTTTACGCTTACCACCAGCACATAACGTCGAAACTAGAGCGCTAATTAATAACTTCATCAAGTTTCGAACTAAAACAAAAAAAAAAAACAAACAATTTATGTCTGTAGACGTAAACGTGTACGAAAACGGGACAGTGAGAAATTGCTCCATTATTTACATTGTATAATAGCTGTTCGCCGCGACTTCGTCCGAGTAGAATTTATTCCGGTGGATTTCATGGGTTTATCCGTTTCATGATGTGTTGCATGATCCGTTTCAAGAGATTAAAACAGCTGGCACGACCTACTGTTTCTGTAGCGAATACCCGAGTTCTGGTTCTGCTACACCTACTTACTTTCTCGGCACCACTCAAATTACTTCGGCCACCGAGATTTACCATTCTCGTGGAGCAATCTAGTAAATCTTATCTTGGTCAAAATTACAAAATGTTCAAAATTGAAACCATTTTGTGGGAGAGTACAGAAACATGGCCAAAACAATAGACTTAGATCTATTCGCAGGTGGCATTTCGCAGCTTTAAAAAGTCATTGACTGTACCATACTGTTGTTGAATTTTACATAACTTAATTTTTTGAACCTTTTAAACTCTTTCTTGTTGCTTCTTGTATATTTTTTTATTATTTTTTTATTGCATGTATAATTAATATTCACTTATAAATATTATATTAGCATTAAGCTTTACAAACCGAATATGTAGTCTTATTTGTAAAAATGTTTTGTTCAAATAAATAAATAAAGTTATAGCTTATATACGTATAGGTAATATATATGTTTCAAAGGGTAATTTTAACATCTGTATAAGAATTCTAGCTTGGAATAAAACTAATTTTCCACCCATCTTAGTCCTCAAGGCTGACAAGGCATCAGCGTTTTGATTCTTAATTGATTATAAATGTAGATGTCTATGGCTCACAACATCTATTTACCATTATGTGGACTGTGTGCTCGTTTGTCACCCTTATTATATAAAAAAATACGGTTTCTATCGCATTTAATTTTGAACTTAACTTTAACTTTTTTAATTCTCAACGTTTCGGGCACTACGATAAAATAAATAAAAATCCGTAAAATTTGTTTTATCCCATGTGCAGTATTCCCGTTACCGTTACAGCCACTCTTGAAGTCCAGTACTGAACATAGACCTTCTCGACATTTGTCATAAATGCCACGCTTGGCAAGCGGATTGGCAACCACAGTTTTTTTAGCCGTTATTAGGAAGAAGCTGCTGCCCATCTGATTTGTACCAGCCAGTTGATTGAATATTTTTACACCGCCACTACACGGTGATATTAGCGTAAATATAAGAAATCATTAAGAGTTCTAATTAGTTTTTGTCCAAATACACTCAATAATTATGCTAGGAATAAGGATTTTAGCAAATGTGTGAGCTATAGGATGGAATAGGGGTTAGTTTAATAGATTTACAGTGTCATCACACGATGCATATCGTCGACTAAATATGCTAAATTGCTAACTCCCAACCATACTGCTTTCGAGGAAAAATAAAAAACTGATTTAAAAATAAAATACTCAAATAAGTGCAATAAACAAAGTCTAGTTTGGTAAAATTTTATTTGTTTCTTATTATTATATCAACATTTTTGAATTTATTTCAATTTAATTACACTTTGCGGCCTTAAATTGGAGTTAGCATATTTTACAATTGTAAATATTTTTTTATGGCGATTAGTTTGGGAGTTATCAGATTTTAATAATTATAGTATTATTTGATTGAAACTACTTTTACAGATTTTATCGCGTTTAATTTACTTGATTTTTAAAATTAAATAAATTAAACGCTATAAAATCCGTAAAAGTAGTTTTAATAAATGTGTAGTGTTCACGTAAATATAAAATATCATAAAGTATTCTTATTAACACTCCATTAGTCGCGCGTTCTACTATTGTAGAACAGGCATGCATTTCGTGGAATTTTAACATTAACTTGGGTGTCTAACGCACACACTCATAGTATTCCTCTATTACTAGCTGGTGATCACAATTAGTACCCTTTCGGTAAACTGCGCGATCGCACTTGTTAGAAATTTCGCACCAAAACTAAAATTCTACAATAGTAGAGCGCGCGAGCACTCGCGTGACATTTTTGTCGGAAGTTTACCTATCGTTTTTATTTTATGTAAGTGTTTATATTAAGTATAAATATTGTTATTATGATTTTTTTTTGTTTGATAATATTATTTTTAACCGAAATAACTATATTTCGCACAATGATGGCACATATTTTGAGATGGTTGGAAGAAGTTATTACTGATGAAGCAACCAGCAAAGTATGGGATACATATATTTTTACTAACGGATACAAAGGTATCTTAAGCCTACCATATGGAAATATACGCAGGTGCTCAGCCAGATGGTCCTTATGCACAATCAAATAAAGTTGTGGACATTGTGCAACGAATGCTTACCCCATTGGATGGTTTAGGTTATAACGTCACAATGCATAATTGATTCACGAATATACCTCAATGCTTAGAACTCTTAGGTAGCAAAATTACTGTCGTAGGCACTGTGAAGAAAAATAAGCCACAAGTTCCCAAAGAATTCAAAATCACAAGAAACAGAAGCGAAACGACTTCAATTTTTGGCTTTCAAAAACAAGGTACTTTAGTATTTTACACGCCAAAATCAAAGAAAGTGGTGCTTATTTACTTACCTATGCACTATGATGATCATATCGATTTACAAACAGCAGAGAAACGTAAGCCGGAAATAATAACTTTTTATAACAATACCAAACGTGGCGTGGACATTATTTGTAGTATTTATGACGTCTCACTTACCATTTTTTTCAATTTAATGAATATAAGTGCTATAAACGGTTATATTGTACATACAATAAACAACTACAGAAATAAGGCCAGGAAGGATTTTTTATATGAACTTGGTTTTCACCTAGTCGCGCTATGCATACAACGCAGAATAAATATTGAAAGTATTCCAAAATCATTGAAAATGAAAGGGAAAATACTTTTGGGCATGAAAGAGCCATCGGAATTACAACCATGCCCAGCACAACTCCCCAATACTGGTCGAGTCGGGAAATGTTCCTTTTGTGGCAGAGCGCGCAATAAGTCCACTAGAAAACAATGTGACACCTGTAAATAGTGGATTCGTCCTCAACATCAAGTTCTTCAATGCCTTGACTGTTGTAAAAATGATAAAGACCGTGTGGAAGATATGAGCGAGTAAAAAAAGCAGACTGAGAAGGTTTGATGCCAAAAAATCATTGATTTTTCTCAAAATTCACAAGAAGTCTGATATTAAGTGCTTAATAAATGGTAACAGTTATGTTTCGTCTATTTTAGTTTCTTATTAAAGTTTGTTTTCATATGATATTGAAGTATTTTTATATTTGTTTATTGTTCCTGTAAAATCTTTACACAAAATAGTTCTACATATGTAGAGCGCGCGAGCACTCGCGTCCCAAACAGGGGCGCGCGTAATGGAGTGTTAAAAACCAAGTAAAAAAATATGTAATATAGTTTTTAATACCGAAACAAATTCACAAAAATAAATTGAACATTATTAACACAAACAATATGGATTTTTAATCATGCGGTAAATTATTGTAAAATTCTCTGAAATCTGCTGGCAGGACTTCTTTAATTTGTTGAAGGTCATCATATTTTCGAGCTTTAATTTTCAGTCTAGTTTGGTGCAAATTTTGCATTTTCTCAAAACTTTTTGCTGAAAAAGGGCTTTTTCTTTGGGGTAGCAGCATCCATGGCTCTTCAAACCGCAACTTATATGAAATTTCTCCCGATGAAGAATACATGAGTGCGTGAATATCGGTGACTTTAGGGTCTCCCGATGATCGTCCAGGGCGAATGCTTTTGTAGCTCGAAATATTACGGAAATCTTTGAAAAAGTATGTTCCAAATACTTGACATCAAATGGATTATTGCGCGCAGACTCAATAATTTGAACATAGTCCGCACGAACATTTATGATTCTATTACGCATTCTCCGTTCTATTAAAGAATGCGTAGCATCCACTTCCATTTGTGTATGGCCGACTTCTAAATATTTCTGCTCGATGGTTATTTTGTTTTTAACTGCCATATTTAATAGCGCATTTGACATAGTCACATTGCGATTTTGACAACCACAGCCATCCGAATAAATAATAATACGTATATCTGTTTTGTTTTCCACTTTAGGTAGAATCTTTTTCTCAATAAAATATGTCCAAATAGAAGCAAACTCATCTGCATTAAGCCCCCCTTCCGTTTCATTCCATACAAAATATTAACCATCTTTGCTGATATTATTATAAAAGCACAAATTATGCACTTGAAGCTTTGTTTTGTAGTACAATGTGCTGACATTTGACTTAGGTGCCATTAAAACTGCTTGAAGATCTACTGTGAATACAAGACTATTATTCGCTTTATCTGTTTGTTTTTCTTTCCTAGCTTCTTCTTTTTTCAATACATGTAATTGATAATCATGTTCTTCCATTGTCCCAGCCTTATATCTTGCACATATTTCACATTCGTCCTTTTTTGGGTCTAAACAGACAAAGATTTCTCGATGACATAAACTCACAGAAAGTAGTTTTAGATAGCGGTTGTATGAGGTGCGATTTGCACCAGTCAGATACGTAAAACTTATATAAATCCGTTTTTGTTTTCCAATCAGTTTGCAGATATTTTTTGGAAGATGAAGCCCGACAGTAATGAGATTCCATTGTTGGTAGAGAGTCGAAAAAATCGGCCATTGATTTTTGCCTGTTTACAAAAGGGTTAACTCTATCTCTGTTAACTCTAAGTTGACTAGGAATGCAAGTATTATCTTTAATTCTATCTTTCCAAGCAATAACAGTCATTCTTCTAATGCTCAAAGTATTTAAATACATAGTTTTGCAAACTCTTACATAACTACCATCAGCTGTTTTTAAATTATACTTGAATGACTGAGCTCGTCGAAAACTATCAGACAGTTTTCGGCTGAGCTGATTGAACAGTATCATTAACAAATATTTTCTTCTCTCCCCATGTATATGTTTTCCAAAATTGGTTGAATAGTTTCATTCTTTCTTCATCTTTTATAATGCCACACTTGATTATGCCTGTTTTTCTGCTACATTTGCATCTGTCTTTTAAACGCTTTGGTTCTCTTAAACTTTCATAGACCCATTTAGAATTTTTTTTAATTTTGCCATAATATTGAGAGCCTTTTTCGCGCAATTTTTTATTTTTTTCTGCAAACCAGGTATTTTTATTTACTTGAGTTCGTCTTTTACTGAATTTACTCTTCTCAGGCAAGGAAGTATCGCTATCGTTTTCTGAACTTGATGAGTATGGAACTAATTTAGGATCTCCAAAATTATCACTAAAATTGGATATTAAATCGCAGTTTTCTATATAAGTATCATTAAAATTTTCTCGCATCGATGAATCGTAAACCCTAACATTATCACAAATTTTTAAAGAATGTGTATTGCTAATTATGTTTGCATTTTCACTAGGTACGTCAAATGTAGTAAAAAATCAGGAACATCAACTATTTCAATCTGTGCATTTTCTACTAGCGAGTAATGTTCAATGTAATCTTCTAACGGTACATTTAAACTAGATTCAGTAGGATTGTCCATCATATTGATAACATTGTTTAATGTATTCGTGTATCTACTATTCTGATCAGCATCAAAATTATTGTTAATAATGGTATTTCCCTTATTAAGCAATAATTCTTGACGCGTAGTAAGAGAATCGCCATGTTGTTCTGTATTAAGAGCTAAACTGATAAGCTTCCTAGCCCTATCTGAAGCCATCTGTGGATAAAACAAAAGCAAAATAAGCCACCACATCAAGCATAGTACATAAATAATTGATCCATGCGAAAATTGGATAAAAACCTATTGTTTAAATATCTTTATCGTTACTATTGTGCCGTCGAACATCATTACAAAACCAAAAACTAATTTTAAAATAAAGCGTTAAAATACTAAAACAAAGTTACAAAACTCTTATGTAAAAAATAAAAATATCCAACTCCTAAACAATATATGAAATAGTAAGAAATGAATTATGCTAACTCCCTTATCATACAAGTTTACATTTCATTTGTACTTTCGTATAAATTTTGCTTAGATATGTGTATCAGAACTATAAATAAATTATAGAATAATACTTACATTTTACAAAAAAATACAGTCACGTGTAAAGCTTCAAATAAACCTTATTTTTTAGAATTAAACTCTCGGAAACACTGATAGTACTGCTCAAACTGCTAGAAGATGGCGTCGAATGGCGGGAGTTAACATGATTTCCCGCGTGATTTGACAGGCGTGGAGTTAGCATAAAAGATTGAGGCGCGAAATCTATAACCTGGGTTTAGTTTGCGTATTAAGCATATTTGACGATTATGCGCTATTTTTTTCTCTTTCGTTTGATACCAAAAAAGTCAATTTAGCCTAAATTGGAGTTAGCAACTTAGAACTTTTAGCCGAGGATATATAGTCTATGTAGTCATGCAATATATTTTAAAATTCGTCTACAATTCGTAGGAAGAAATGTCCATAGAAATTTGTGAACTCAATAATCCAAGCGAAGTCTTCGCAAGCTGTGCACTACCACTACGGGAAGCGTTCAAGCACGCCAACCGTCAAGTGGACATGTCGTTAGCACTGGTATGTAGTCCTAGAGTTATTTTGAAAATCTTGTGGCGAAACGCCAAGCTGCCAAAGCACAAAGTGTCTTTTTATTAATCTGTGGTAATAACGTTTGAGAAAGCTCAAAGTCGCTCAGCAAGCTATAGAGAGGGCTATTCTCGGAGTTTCTCTGTGTGATAAACTTAGGAATGAGGATATCCGCAGTAGAACCAGAGTAACCAACATAACCCAACGGTTTAGTAAGCAGAAGTGGCAATGGACCGGCTACATAGCTCTAAGAACCGATAACCGATGGGGAAAAAAGGTTATCGAGTGGCAGCCTCGTACCGGCAGGCGAAGTGTAGGGCGTCTCCCACTAGACGGAGTGACGACCTGGTAAGACATTCAGGAAGTCGATGGATGCAGGTGGCTTGAGACCGTGCTTTATGGCATTCATTGGGGGAGCCCTATGTTCAGCAGTGGACTTGTGAAGGGCTGTAATAATAATGATGATGAATAACGTTTACTCACACCTGCAGAATTTATTGTAAAAGGCTCTTGGCTGTTGCTGCGCAATAACTTGTACTTTATTGCTTTGTGTGGTACCACAACAATATAAAGTTCATAACTGCTAATAAAGTTTTATTTAATATCCAAGAACTGCAACAGAATACCTCAGCATCAATCGTAACCTTTTTAGGCAATATCTAATTTTATTCTTCATATCCTTTTGCAGCCTCTAAAGTTTTATTGCCGCATCTGGGTTTTCCCCGTTATAGACTGGATTTGTCTCAATCGTTATGCTTGGCTGGCGAATTGATGATCGCACTGGGTACTTGAGATGAGAATCCTGAATATTTTTGAACATCTTATTTTTCTTTTTAGCCCTTAAAATGTCACTGCTGGTTTTGGTAGGATTTGTGTTCTTTCGAATCTGATGTAGTGACGGGGACGATCCTGTCCGTGTTCATAGACTAGACTTCCCAGAGCATCGATTCTTCACATTAGCTATATATTCTTTAACGCAGGTTTTAATTGATCTTTTAGTTTGTCCTATGTAAGAGAGACCACATTCACAATAAAGCTTCTACACTCCTGCATCTTGTAGAGGGATATTACACTTTACTGATGTTAGAAACTGACCAATCTTCTTCGGCGGCTTGAATTATGTTTTAATGGTAGCGCGCTTCAAGATGGAGCCAATCTTGTCAGTGTCTCTTCTGCTATATGGCAGTACAGCAGGTACACGCTGATAAGTTCTGCCAATGACATCGTCCTTCATTATAGGAAGAATTTTCCTTAATCGACGTGATTAGCTGACCGGATTGATAATTGCAGTACCAGATGTTTCACAACTTTGACGTTACTGCCCGTCACCGGTTGCCGGGTATTTTACGTATGACGAAAATGGTAGATTAGATTATACCATCGTCCACGAAAGCCATTAGTTTTTTTTTTCTGACACGAATGCCTCATACGATACCAGGTGCATATATCTCAGCATGGAATGTATTTGTATTTGAGAGTCCCAGGTAAAAATACTCGTCAACAACATCGAGCATAGTGTACCCAACAACTAACATAGATGACACGTGAACGTTAGACATGATTCACGAAGTTGCGGTTGTCAACCCACTCCTAAGTGTGGGAACTATGGCATTACATCCAAGTCCAAAAACTAAATAAAATTGTATAATTTATAGAATCAGGCGTAACTTTACTTACTGGCAGAAATCCACCATATTAAAGTTTAAAAAAAATTACCTAAGAAATAATACTAGTTTTTACGGATTTTATCGCGTATATTTAACTATAAATACCCGACGTTTCGAGCGCTTTACAGCACCCATGGTCACGGGGCTGAGATGTTCAACGTCCAAATTTCATAGTTAACAGCGGTTACAATAGATAAAAATTTAACTTTTGTGTTCCGATCTACACAGTATGAACTTATGGTATCTTGAAGTCTTGCAGTTGTATGCTTGGGTTGGGATTTAATTTTATTTATTATAAGATCCCAAGCAGATGGTAGCATCCAGCCATCTTCTCTATTGAAATTAGGATGTTTTTTGATTTCAATAGCCTCGTGAATCATCCTTGGAAGGAATCGGTGTTCTTTAGCGAGGATTTGCGGTCTATCAAATCTGATGTAGTGACGGGGGGCGATCCTGTACGTGTTCACAGACTGCAGACTTCCCGGAGCGTCGATTCTTCACATCAGCTATATGTTCTTTAACGCGGGTTTTAATTGATCTTTGAGTTTGTCCTATGTATGAGACACCACACTCACAATCAAGCTTGTATCTCCTGCATCTTGCAGATGGACTGTATATCTATCTGCGCGGAAAATAAGAGAATAAGGGAAACGCCACGGTGATCATGAATACGTCAGATTATAATTCTAAAATACAAGAAGTTTTGTCGGATGTAAGCATTAAAAAAACTAGTGGCATCATAAAGAAACACTCCGAAAAATTAAATCTGGACGTAAAATGGATAATACCTACGTGCGCCAAATCACCAAAGTTGTATGGGTTACCGAAAATACACAAGCCCAATGCTCCATTACGTCCCATAGTGAGCCAAATCGATTCACCAACTTACAGATTGGCTCAACACTTATCCCCCGTGACCATGGGTTTTGTAAAGCGCTCGAAACGTCGTGTATTTATAGTTAAATATACGCGATAAAATCCGTAAAAACTAGTATTATTTCAATGTGTAGTGTTCGCGTAAATATAAGAAATCATTATAAAATTAGCTAAGATCTGCGTAATAAAATAAAATGGTGTGTCTCACCTAGTTTAAAGAGCATCTACCATCCCTCAATCAGGGCTAATAATCTTCGGCTCACCAGATGTCGCTAGTAGACACTGAGGTGAAGTTTTTTTACACTATGTAATTTAATTGAGAAGTTTGTTTTAAATAAAAATTTATCAATTTGTAGGGTACTATATATACACAAACAATGCGTCAGGGGTTTGCTCTTTAATTTTTTGCACATCTTTAACTCTTTTTTTATATTTCTATTTTTATGAATATCGGTGGTTTAGTTTATTTATTTTTAATCTAATTGATATAAAATATAACTAATATTACATAAAGAAAAATTAACCTTTACATTTTTCGGTCACATTAAGTTCCCCGCTATGAAATCTCTCAAATATTACATACACCTCATGTGTAAGTGGCGCCGCTCTGGCGGCAGAAAATTCGTGGATGCCCTTATTGCGTACTCTCAATACCACTACACTAGGAACACCACCGTCGATAATACGACACGGGTCTACACGTGGCATCCTCAGGTGAAGTAGACTGCGGCAGCTGACCGCTAAGATTAAAAAAATATTATGTACTTGCTTCCTGTGTGGTGCCAGCGTAAGGGAATCCTCTACCCAGGTCATCCCATAGGTATCGGAGGAAAGACGACAGAGAACTCAAAATGGCAACTATGGTAGATATTTCATCTATGCGACAATCCATGTTCAGCAGTAGATTTTTAGTAGGTTGTAACGACATAGATTCTCCTGGGAGGTGCCGTAACGCGAATTAAATACACAGCTGCAAGTGGGAGGAGAGGAGATGGTCGGCAGGCAATCCTCAGTGGAAGCGCTGGACTGCGGCGACGAGTTGGGCGTTTTGGACTTGTGGTGTTTATTGAAGCTCGACCCCGCCGCATTGTCCGCTGTACGTAGGCCGCCTTCTAACGTTTTATTATTTATTTATTCATTACCTATTCATTTGGGAATTTTAATGATAAAGATATTTTTTTATAGTGTAAGGGGCTAACGAGCATGCGGCTCACCTGATGGTATGTGACTTACTTCGCCCATAAACAACTGCAACACAAGGGGAATTGCAGGTGCGTTGCCGGCCTTTTAGAAAGGAGTAAGCTCTTTTCTTGAAGCTCCCTAAGTCGTATCGGTCTGAAAAAATCGCCGGTGGTAAACAATTCCACAAAGAGGTTATGCGAGGAAGGAAACTCACTAGTAAAACGCACAGTGTTGCACCGCCAAGCATCCACATGGTGTGAATGGTATTGTGAGTTTTGTCGCAATGTGCGTTTGTGAAATTTGGTGGCTGGAATTAATCGGAACAACTTCTCTGAGCACGCTCCGTGGTAGATAGGTACGATAAAAACGCAAAGGGATACAACATCCCTTCGCAGCGCCAGTGAATTGGCCCGATCTCAAAGAACTCGATCAATGACGATTCGAGCCGATGCACAGCGGCATTCTATTTAAAATGAAGTTCAGTATTTTAAAACAAAATTTACAATATAAAGCCACGCTGCAGCATTACTATGGTTTTAGCACGAGTGTGTCGGCTTGACGGAAGCAGGACCGCACTTTCACAAAATACAAGTGTAAAAAAGCAGCTTATTGTTGCCGTTCTGCATTAACCGTGTAGAAAAACAGAGACCCTTTTTATTGAAAACAAAGGCATACCATCTTAGTCCCCAGGGGTGACAATGCATCTGGGTTTTGATCGACATCGAGGAGAGATTTAGATGTCTATAGGCCACAGCTACTACTTATCATCGGGTGAACTGTATGCTCGTTTGTCATCCTTATTCAATAAAAAGTAATAAAAACTTACAGTCTACCTGATGGTAGGTAGCTACCACACTCAATAGACACCTGCAGTCAACTTCAAACAAAGAGGGCAACAGATGTGATGTCACCTCTGCAGACTAAGACGGAACACAGCCTGTATTATGCTAGTTCTCTACATCCTCCAGACCGGAACACAGCTTGTATTCTGCTAGTTCTCTAAATCCTCCAGATCGGAACACAGCCTGTATTCTGCTAGTTCTCTAAATTCCCTAGATCGGAACACAGCCTATATTCTGCTAGTTCTCTAAATCCTCCAGATCGTAACACAGCCTGTATTTTGCTAGTTCTCTAAATCCTCCAGATCGGAACACAGCCTGTATTCTGCTAGTTCTCTAAATCCTCCAGATCGGAACACAGCCTGTATTCTGCTAGTTCTCTAAATCCTCCAGATCGGAACACAGTATCTGCTAGTTCTCTACATCCTCCAGACCGGAACACAGCAGTGCCAGCTGTTGTTTACCAGCAATGTAATAAAAGGAAAGGAACTACGATTTAATAAATTATAATTACATACATTATTGTACCTAAATTATAATTAAGAATATTGTAACATACTGCTTTGGTTCGTTTAGTTCTTGAAAAACTTCATCATTCCATATCTTCCCGTGGGAGCTGTAAGAGTCAACTGTGGGCAATGCTAAATAATCTCATCGCCTCTCACAATCATACCTGACGCAGAAACCATTTCTAATTTACCTGATAGTTATTTTTCGGAAACTTCCCCTATAGTCTTCGAAACCCAATGAGGCGAAGTAAGGCTATTGGTTTACTTACATCCCACCGCATGGCACTACATCTTCTTATATCCAGGTGGTCCACTACTGTGCGCTTTACTCGCACGACTACTTTGTGGAATCGTTTACCACGGGAGATTTTTCCGGACCGATACGATTTAGGGACCGCTAAGAGATCGGCTTACTCCTTCTTAAAAGGCCCGCAAAACACTTCTCAATTCCCAATTTCTATCAGGTAAGCCACATGCTCGTTTGTCTCTTTTAATTAAACAAAAACATAAAAAAACACCGTCTAGGTACGACTGGTAGCGCAAAGCCTAACTATTCCTTTGGTTGTGGATTGTGGTTTGCAGCGCTGTAAGGCCGATTCGAATTCTACACGTAACGGGCGCTAGTATGAGCTACTACGAGTAATAATTGTTTCGGGTCTGAATGGCCATGTGCAATACGTAAAATTGCAAATCACTTAG